AATTTTCTGAAACTTATTATAAACGCGTTTAAATTTTGTTATTTGTTGTGGCTTTCGCAAGACCGCTCTAACTTTCCTACCCTTCAAAACAATAGTGTTCACAGGAGAACCAACATGAGATTTGCTGGCCCCTAAGGCCACTGTTTTAGCCACAAGTTTAAGTGAATCCTTATTGGCAATACCGGAAACATGTTCATCTATCATCTCAAAAAATTTATCCATATGTCTTCCAAGAGAATCACAAGGCTTATTTAAAGAGATAAAATAGAGATTTACCTGCCGGTAATAATCCTCTATAGATCGACGAAGAGACAGGAGTGCAACACGCCCGTCAGTGCTCGACATGGATTGGGGCCACTCCTTCATCCAACCGATGTGTCTATCTGCCTCCTCTGCTCGGCCAACTTCAATGCCGGCCACACGTTCCACCTTCACAGATTCTCGTGGAAGATCAACGTTGTGTTTTTCATGCCACAGAGCCATATTTCACTTCAAACACACGTGTCCCACCGGGTGTGCCCAATTGTTTCACGAGAAAATCAAATACCACCGCCGGTGCCGAATTCGTTTTCGGCGATGTTGATTTGATGTTTCGTGGTGGAAACTCTTGCAATGTCGTTTGATTGGATGCACCGCTGATTGATGAAATCGAGACGATCGTCAAATATCCACCGCAGTGCGATGTTGATTTGATCGATGCACCTATGAATGGTGAAATCAACTTGATCGTCAAATATCCACCGCCGGGCGATGTTGATCTGATCGATGCACCTCTGACTTCTAACCAACGCGACCGTTACTACGGTTCGCACCTCTCCAAACTACGTTCGAACGAGGGTGTTTGATTTTTTTGAGGAATCTACGCTACCGCTACTCCTATGGAGATTCCTGTCGAGAGCTCCGCGACTACGACTACTTCTACCACTATGGAGATCCTTCTTGGAAGGAGAGCTCCGCGAAGGAGTTACAGAGAAAAAAGTAAAGTTTGACAGATGTGTTTTTGTGTTGTTTTGGTTGTCCCCTTCTCTCTCCTTGCTCCGCTGCTTTTATTTGAAAAGCATCTTCGTAGTCTTTACGCTCTGTGAAACCGCTTCCTCAACTGCTCCATTGAACTCCCACGTGTCTCGACCGCCTTGATCTCCTCCTCGCTATAGTTGGCGTGAATCTTACGTGAAAGAACAAATAAATCGTCGCTGCACCATTGTAAACTGCCGACACCAAATCGATGCCGACCTTGAACTGCTCCGTCCCGGTCCCATAAAAAAATGTCGTTTTTCATTCCGCGACATTGTTCTCTACCAAACGTTATCGTTTTCTCGTCTTGCGGTGCCGTTAGGCTTGCTCGCGGTATCGTTTCCTTCCCCAAAACGGCGTCGTTTGCTTTTCCTTTCGCGACATTGTCTAAATATTTTAAACACTGTCGTTTGCTAGCACAGTGGTACCATTTTTAAATCCGCGGTATCGTTTTACTTCTCCGCTATGCCGTTTGTTCCACGCGGTATCGCTTCTCCCCTTCCGACAAGGAATAAATAATAAAAATCCTTTTCCAACACCAACACTAACCGTGCGGCCCACCTCTTGTTCTTCGGCAAACAGTGTCGTTTCCAGTGCCGCGGTACCGTTGAGCTTCCTTGCGGTGTTGTTTTAACTCTCCACGATGCCGCTCAACTCAAAACGACACATTTTTTATCCGCGGTATCGGATTAAATGCCGAAACTCATTAATGCGGCATTTAATTCAATTTAAAATAATTTTAGGTATCAACACCGCTGAAATTGATTATCACCGTTGTCGTTAATCTCGCGACGTCGGCGATATCTAAAACTATATTATTTTTAGGTGTAAACAAATGCACGATTGAACGAATTGCATTTCTCGCATTGGCTCCATTTCGAGCGGTTTTCCTTCCGCCATTTAAATTGCCTGCAATTCTTTTCTTCAGCAGAGTCCCGGAGCTTCCCCGATTTTGTATTCTGAACTTTTTTCTTGTAAATTTTGGGAGCTAGGTCGTAATCTACTCGCCAGCTCGGGCTGCGACGCAACAGGGATCTGGAAAAGTTGGGAGATGGTTCATTAATTTCCTTTCTGTACACAAGTACGATTCTCTACTCTATGACTTGCCATCCGAAGTCTGAACTCAGCATTTCCTTTTGCAATTGCTCAACTTCGCCAATTCTGATTATCAAATGCTTGTTGTATATCCCATTCTTGTAAAGTGGAACCTATAGCCTGTTTATGAATCTTTATCCTAATTCATTTGAAATCAAGAGGTTTAGGACAGTTTGAGTTGCAGCACTTGCCAGTAGATGTGAACGACAACACTTAATGTTAGACCAGTCTTCTCATTAGGACGTTTCTAGTTTGCTTTTTGTGAGGTTTCTGGTTTGTTTTAATATATTTGTGGTCTGCATTAGGACGTTTCTAGTTTGTTTTTTGTGGGTTTTTTCACAGTGTTTGTGGTTTGTATTATAAGATTTCTGGTGTGCATTTAAAATATTTATGGTATGTTTTGTGGGATTTCTCGTATATTTTAGGGATTTGTGGTCTGCATTAGGATGTTTCTGGTTTTTTTTTTTGTGGTTTGTTTTATCATGTTTGTGGTATGAATCAGAAGATTCGTGGTGTGTTTATGAAATATTTGTCGTTTGCTTTGTGAGATTTTAGATATGTTTTAGACGATTTGTGATATGCATTCGAAAATTTTTGGTATACTTTTTGTGGTTTGTTTTACAATGTTTGCGGTCTAAATTAGAAAGTTTCTGGCGGTGGTTACGCAACAACCTCTGTCGCTTCATAGAATGACCCGAAATCCCAATACTTGGTTGAGGATGAAGAAGGGTCATGGGCGTAGAAAAATCACCACCATCATCTTGTTGTTGCTTTAAACCATTCTAAACTGCATGCAAACCCAGAATTTCAGCATTGTAGGTTGTTGTTATACTATCGGCACCCCAAACCGATTATAGTCGTACGAGTGCACTTGCTTCATTCGTATGGTTTACAAACTGTTTGGTACCAAATGAATCAAGAACTCATTTCATTGTAAAATGAATTACCGTGTAGAACTCATTGTCAAATGAAATCTTGTGTTTGGTATGTCATATTCAAATCTTTAGAAATAAAATGAATTGGCATGTAGAATTCATTGTCAAATGAATTCCTGTGTTTGGTATGTCATATATATATATAAAGTAATTTAGTTAATAAAGAGGCTAGTTATGTGATTCTATTATAATCAATGCTGTTAAAAGCGCGATTCTACCTAGAAGCGGAAAATGGGTAAAATCGTAAAACGTAGAATGAAAGCGTAAAAGCGTAAGTTTTTGACGCACTCTCTAAAACAGCTAAAATATGTTAAGTACAACATATAGTATGTAAAATGTGAGTGTGTAGATTTTAGATAAGTGAATAACTACATGAAATTCATAATTAAAATGTAATATCTAACACATAAACTAATTTGTGTTGACTCAAAAGTAGAGAAAACTCATAACATCTTAATAATAAGCTCATAAACATAGATCGTAACCCATAAACGAGCTTGAGAATCCAAATTCTCATAAGCTGGTTTGAGTTTACATAATTACATACGATCAATTACCCATAAACTTTTATCATAACCCAGGTAAGAGCCACATGTGAAGATTAAGGGAGAAGACTAATAGAAGGTCAACGGCTGTTGAGAATACCATGAGGTGTCTTTTCAACCTAATGTGAAGCCCGTATCTCAACACTAGCTGTAGAAAGAGTGATGAATCATGTTTTCATTTTTTTTTATTTTTTGCAGATATGTCTCCAAAGTTACATCATTTTGGGCCAATTATGACATTTTTATGAGATGATCAAGATCGTATAAAAACGCTTCATAATCGCGATTTTATCGATTTTAAGCGATTTTATCGATTTTACCGATGTTTTTACAAGTTTTTGTGACTAAGCGACTTTAGCTAAAAACATACTAAATTTGGTGACCTGGATACGTAAAAATGTAAGTTTTTACGTTTTAATGTGATATTTTAACTGCACTGATTATAATTATTAAACTAGTTTTTTGGCCCGCGCTTCGCGGCGGTAAGACTTTTGTAATATGTTTGTTTAAATGATACGTAAAAATAATTATCACTCTAAATTTTTTTATGTAATTTATTCATAATTTATGAAACTTTTCAGAATAGTGTTACTTAAATTTTCCGTACTGTGTGGTCTAATAATAAAATCAAATTAAAAAATCATATTTGATTAAATTATAATGTAAAAGTTGGCTTATCTTATGGATTTGCGTAATGCAAATTAATGACATAGTATAATGAAAATTCAAATTAGTAATATAAGAATTAAAATTAGAAAAGTATCGCATTTGATTAAATTATTATGTAAAATATAACTAACCTTATAGAACCTTTGTATAATGCAAATTAATGAGATGATCAACCATTTGGTTAGTAATATTGACATTTTCATTAAAAATTGATGTACGGAAGCATGATGTAATATTTTTTTATTAATTTATACATAATAAATGACTATCCACTATCTATAAGATTTATGTATGTCTTAATTATTAAGAAGACTTAGCACATTATGTTTTGATTATTTGATACATAATAAATAACTACCTCTATATAAGTTTGACATAACATATTTGTAATTTACGTAACTTTTAAAGAATAGTGTTACGTAAATTTTTCATAATTTGTGGTCCAATAATAAAATAAAATTATGGAAATATCACATTTGATTAAACTATTGGACTTTGCTATGCTGACATGGTAAAAATTATAGTTAACAATAAAAGTTTACACTATGAACTAATGAAAGGTTTGTGTAATACAAATTGATTAAGCACAATTGATCATGTAAAATGTAAAAACTCAATCAGTTATATTTATAGTTGCATGGCAATGGGAATGGGAATATAATAGTACACCTCGCTGCATCTTTGTGTGTAAATCCTTTTATGCTTGTGTGCACTATACATCCGGCCGTAGGTTAGAACTACAATTAAAAAATACAATAAATACCTATGAACAGTGTTTTCGATAAAGAGCTTGGGTTTACCGTGTTTTTCGTGAGGAACAGTAAAAGTAATTAGAGGTAACTTGTGCTTTTAATTAATTAATTAATAGTTGTAGAATTATTTTGAAAGGGCGAGAACCTTCTTTCAACTTCTTTCAATATTTTGACAACGTTGTTCCTCTTCTCTTGCAAGGGCGCGAACCTTCTTTCAATTTCGCTGAAAGCTAAACGCTTTTCTCCACAGCTCTCGAACTCTCTCGTCGAGAGTCCTCAATTTCTTTCACCTCATTTCCTCCTCCGCCTTAAAACCCGAAACCGCCAAATTCACCCCCGCAGAGCTAATGGTCCGCAATCCACCAGAACGATGGCGGCTACCTGTTTGCAACGACGCGCTTCAACCCTAGCCCGATTCAGTCGACAGACTCTTCCATCCTCGTCGAGACTGTTCGCTTCCGATTCCGGCGCCTTGGTCGAGGTCCCCGGCGAGGCCGCAATTGTCGCACAAATCCCCGAACAACAGCGTCGTAGAAGGGTAAGCTACCGGCTTAGCCTTACTCCGTGATCGAGATTGATTTTTTCAAATTTAGTATGTAGAATGTACGATTGAACGAATTGCATTTCTCGCATTGGCTCCATTTCGAGCGGTGTTCCTTCCGCCATTTAAATTGCCTGCAATAGTTTTCTTGAGCAGAGTCCCGGAGCTTCCCCGATTTTGTATTCTGAACTTTTTTTCTTGTAAATTTTGGGAGCTAGGTCGTAATCTACTCGCCAGCTCGGGCTGCGACGCAACAGGGATCTGGAAAAGTTGGGAGATGGTTCATTAATTTCCTTTCTGTACACAAGTACGATTCTCTACTCTATGACTTGCCATCCGAAGTCTGAACTCAGCATTTCCTTTTGCAATTGCTCAACTTCGCCAATTCTGATTATCAAATGCTTGTTGTATATCCCATTCTTGTAAAGTGGAACCTATAGCCTGTTTATGAATATCCTAATTCATTTGAAATCAAGAGGTTTAGGACAGTTTGAGTTGCAGCACTTGCCAGTAGATGTGAACGACAACACTTAGTGTTAGACCAGTCTTCTCAGACATTGTGTAACTGTGCTTCTGGTTCTATGACTGTACACTCTTGGTTCAGGTGGGAGAATCCATTGATGGGTTGGACATCGACCGCAGATCCATATGCGAACGTTGGTGATGCAGGGCTTAGTTTTGATAGTGCTGAAGCTGCAATTGCATTTGCTGAAAAGCATGGTTGGGAATACTCGGTAAGTCTTAATCTTCAAGCCTTAAGGATGGCCATGTCTCGTCTTTTGGCATTACTGTTTTCCACTCTCCACAAGTATGATTGCAACGTACCAATCCGCGTACTCGCTATCTGGTGCAGGTCAAGAAGTTCCACGCCCCTATTCTAAAGGTTGGATCTTTACCATTCTTCGATTCGAATTGTTGGCCATTCTTTAGCTGTCTATTAACTATATTCGTCTGTGTCCTATAACAAGCGAGCATCTGCAAGATAAGTTGAATGTGAGTTCTTGACCTTATATTAATGTTGTGTGTCTGTGTTGCAGCCGAAGTCCTATGCTGACAACTTCAAATGGAAGGGTCCAGCTCCTGCCGAGGATCACCAGTGAAAGACGTCTTTGTCTTTCCGGGTTGTTGTAAGCTATCAGTCAAAACCTTGCAGTACCACCTGCCCTTTTGTTAGTACTAGTACGTGTCAATGTAGATATTGGTTAGTGTAATGTGTGGCTTGTATTGAACCGGGGCACGCTTGCATGTCCTCTCCTGGATATTAACGTTCTAAGAATGTACAAAAGCCTGAGTTATACCGGTTTCTGTTATGAGCGAAAAATGGATTTCTGGCTTAGTTATGGGAATCCTTTGCCCAGTTCTTTGTTTTATTCCTCTATTCATTGTTCTTGGAGTTGTTCAGAACTTACTCGGCTGTCCAAGTCCTTGCACATCCACAACGATTTTAGACATTTACCCAACAGGATTCACAAACGGACATTTACCCAACTGGATTCACAAACGAACTACTCTAAGCATTTTAAATAAGCTAAAAAGAGAGAGACTATGTATATAACACTATCTAATTGACTGCACTTTTATACAGGTAGGGTGCAACGTAACATGCATTCTCAGTGCTACTATCCACAGCTGGTGAAATTATCTTCAGACATTGCTGCTGCCTTGGGAACCTTGTCTCGCAGGGGTGTGAAACCTCCAGGTGAACATATAATCCTTGGACTCGCATGACAATCTGCTTACGTCACAGAAGGCACTGATACAACTCTTCTTACCTGGATTCCCCCATTCAATCCTGACCCAGCATGAGAACCCATTAGATGAAACCGGCACCCTCGAATCGGAAAGGTGCAGTGCCACTTCCCCACAAATTCTCTTGCAGCACGAGTTGCTGTTGCATCCCAGTCGACCATTCCCCATCGTCACCATGGAATTCAGCCACGAACATTCCGGCTGACCAACCATTTCCTTATATGCAGAATTTGCCAGCCTCACCTTGTTGTTCGAATCTGATATTACAGCTGGTAGGACATCGGACTCCACTTCTTCCTCAACCTGCTCTGGCTTCTTCGGACCCTGAAGAGGTAGGACCCCTGTGTTTTCATTGATGCAGGCAACTCTTATGCTCGAACCAACTGGTCGGACCGGATGGGGGGCTATAACAGCAGGGCGAGGTTCCTGCAGTTGCCGCAGCAGATCTTTCTCCTCTGGTACCTCCACCACGGTGTTCAAATCTATGTCCTCTTGACTCGGTGCCATGCATCTCATCAGCTCATGCAGAGGCGGCATTCCTCCTTGGTTTGTTGTACCTACTGCGGCAACTGAAGGAGGAGGAAGAAGTGGAAGTGTCAAGGGCGTGGTAACGAGTGACGAGTTGTCAAAGCTGCTACTCATCCCACCAAGGCTATGAAGCGCCGGAAGCTGGTTAGAGAACCCATGAAGAAACCCTTGCATGGAGAGATGCTTGGCAGGGGACGAGGAAAGGCCAATGGGCATTTGATGATGGATTCTCTGCCTTTTGATGACTGGCGGAGATAAAGAAGATCCTCTGCCCCTCTTGCGTGTTCTTGTTGGCCTGGCCTGCAATTGTGGCCACAGGTTCCTCAGGTAAGGGGATTGCCTGATCTTCTGAGACATGCCGGACGAGTTGGAATTTGAGTTCTCGTCCTCGCCTGAATTGGAAGGACAGTCTGGCTTGGGTGCAATGGGCCTGTACCTGGACATTATCTCAGCCGTTTTGGCTGTGGTTGAGTAAGGAGCCAATGTCTTGATCATGATAAGAAATTTGTTCTTTTAACCCTTTCTGTTCAGTTTCAGATTGTGCGAGAGAGAAAGAAACAGACTTTGAAAGGGCTGGAGAATTTCTGATTATTGGTTAGAAGAGAGGCGAGGGAAGCATTTCTATTTGCAGGTTCACCAAGGGAGGGATAATTGAAAGGAGAAGGAAGGGGAAGGCGTAGGGGAGTAAGATGGTTGGCGGTGGTGGGGAGATTTAAGTAGGTGGGAGTGGCCAATGAGAAGGAGGCAGCATGAAGCAAAGAGGAAGGAAATGGTGACACTTGGAAATGGGAATGTGGGGTACGTGTTTGAGAGGGTTTAAAAAGCAAGGACATGTGGGTTACGAGTGGGGTAGTGGGTCCATGCATGCTAACACATATCAGGTTCACTGGATATGGTCTTCTCCTCTTCTGGCTAGCTTCGCTTCTTTCAGGCAGAAGAAGGGTGAAAAAAGGTGGGCAAGGGAGAGTGAACTGAAAACTGAAAGGAATCAGCTCAGTGAATTCAGCAGAGTAACTATTACTGTTTTAAGGTTTTTTTTGGCCCATGAAACCCACCAATCAAGAAAGGAGTAGGAGGGGCAGTACTCTGTACAGTTCCTTTCCCCACTGTGGACTGACTTCCATTATAACGCGTGTGGCGTTGGCTGCCATGCGTGGATCCACCTATCAGAATTTGGTGTGGGAGGTTGGCGGAATGGAAGTCAGCTTATTTACCACTCTGCCACCCACGCTGGTGCAAGAAATCTAGCGGGAGTCGGCTGTTCTTGGAAGTTTGCGACACGCGTCGAGTGAGCAGACTGGTGCGTTGCATGCAAAGGTATCGAGAGTCGAGTTTGTTGTCCTCTATCTTCTGTGGAAGGTTTTGAGATATTTTTCTTTGTTTTGTTTTTTAAGCGTTCTTGTTTATTTTATGTTGCCTGTTTCCTACTGGCAGAGGTGATGGTAAAAACGTGGGAGTTGGAGATGTTGTTGGGAATCGTGCTGATGGCTGCTGCTGTTTCTGTTTTTGCCTATCAGTGCCGGAGGATGAGCGGTGCTTTTGCTGTCTACCTACCACGTCATCAAAATGGCTGCCAGCGAATAGCTCTTCTCCTTCAGTTTTTGTTCCTGCTTTTACTGGTGCGTTACTCCCTCTCTCTCTCTTATCCTATCTTCAAAGTTCAAAGTTGGTTTCTTATTTGTTAATTGTTTCCTTTCTGATATCTTTCTTCTTTTCTTTCTTCTTTACTCCTCGGTAGTTAGTACCTTCCATGAGTATTATATACACTTTCAATACAGCATGACAGTAAATACTAGTGGTTGTCTGAGTTTAGTACAAGGTGGTGTAACGACAGAGTTCGTGAGTAGGGGCTAACCCCATTTCGTTTTATTGGTTAATGTAAAATGGAATCAATTAAGCATGTTATTTAGTTTTTCCTATTGGTTCGAACACAAAACTGTTTTAAGGCACCATTTACATAGCAAACCCAGTGCTTTCCGAGGTGAATTGTTTCTGAATACCTGTCTCAAACGGCTAACAGAACTTTGATTTCTCAAAGCGAAAACGAATCATTAAAGAAAAGTCTCTCAACCATAATCCCTTTCAATCTTCTTAATTCCCGACCCTTTTCTCACCCAAAGGCCGCAGGTCATACTTCTCAGTTCTGTTCTTCAATCCCTAATTTTCAATTTTTCAATCTAAATCCCTAATTCTATTTACACACTCAAAATCTTTGTTACGAGCAATCGCGGGTGTCCAAAATCAGAACTGAGACACCCTAGAAGATGATTTCTTACCGTTTGTCTGGAATCACTTATAGTATACCGTGTTTTGTATTACCGTTTTCTCGAGTAGAATCTGCTATATAATGTGTCAATATAGGTGAGGTGGTTACTGGAAATTCTAAGACTTCGTTGAAGAGAGTTGGTACACTAGCAATGTTGGTTGGTCTCAAGATGAACATCTAATTCTTACAAAAAGAAAAAGAAAAGATGAACATCTAAGAACAGAAGATCCAATGAAAGAGTGAAGAAAGTAATAAGCTTCTATAGACTTCCACCCCAAAATCTTGAACAGGTTTTGCTCAAACTAATGAATTTTAGAGTTCTACTTCTATCTAAAAGAACATAACAGAACAACTCCATACCCGTAATGGCCTAACTTGTATATTCACTCCATAACAAACTAAAATATGATGCCCTACCAAATAACGTAATCTAGCAGTAGATCAATGTCTGCACAGGAAACACCCCCACACGTCCTTTTACCATCTCTTGGAGGCTACCCTTCTGCTAATTGCTAAACACCACCCTAAGTAGCTTAGTTAGTAGTGGCATCGGCGCCATCTCACCCACCGGTGCAAATGATCTTGAGGCAGCAGCAGAAGAAATTGCAGCTGCCCAAATTTAGAAAAAAACAACTGGAAGGTAAGTAACAGAAGAGTTTAAGATATGTAGATTTCAGTTACAATAGAAAGACACTTTGATGAACTAACCATGATTCGAGGGAGCAGCAGCAACATTCACTTTCAGGCTGGGACTGTTGTGCATAGATTATCACCTGCGTTTGTACCGGCACCGGAGAAGGAGGATGGGGACCTAGTTAGAATCACAATGAGGATCAAGGCAGAATTAGAAGTATCCTGAAAACAAATTCAAACGAAAGAGGTGGAATGTCAAATGTGTTTAAGGCAGAGTCGCGGCTAACCTTGTGACTACTGATCCATTTGATGCTCTCAGTTGTCACTTCAGTTCGTGATGCTGTACAGTCAAAGGAGCACAGAGTGAAAGAGCCGAAGGGAAAAGATGAAGCGGTTAGAATGGGGATGGGATGGGTACTAAAGATATACTAATTAGGAGATAACAAATCGAGGTGTGGAAGAAATATCCTCCCATAATTACGTCCCTTAATGGTTTGCAAGCTGCAATTAGGTCCTTAATTGCTGCAGTTAATTCGAGGTTTCAAAATCATTGTCATTGCACTACGTTCTTTCTTGTTCTGGAAATGATAAGAGGAGGAGGCTCTCTTGCTTTATGGGGAAGTTTTGCTACAGTTGTGTGTTTCTTCACTAAAGTGGCTTTTACTAGGATAAGTGAACGCGTTTCCCTTGAAAGGATTTAGTTTGGTCAGAAGGACTGAATTAATACAAAAACTAAATCAGCCGTAATCGAAGTTAAATTGGTTACATTGTTTGGATGATGTAACATCATTTGAAAATCATCAGGTTTCTTAATCATTTTAACACGCTACTGATTATCATTATATCAAGTATTATAACTAACACTTTAATGATCCTGTTTATGTCGTTGCCTGTGATTTGCAGAAGCAGGGCGAAATCATCCCCCTTGCTGCTCGTCTTAAGTTTGAGTACTGGGGATATTATGGAATTGGCAATCCTCAAGGTAATATCAAACTACATAATGAAACTAGTTGGACGCCTGACACCATATTGCTGCTTCCTTCCCTTTGGTAAGCTTGTGAATGTGATGCTCGTTTCTGCTGCAGGAGGAGGTGGGTTTGAGGAGAGAGTTGTTGAAGAACCGTAGGGAGAGTTCATACTGGAAGGTGGTAACATATGTAGGTTGGTAAGTGGTAACCATGTGTACCTGTCCGATTTAGTTATCTGATTAATTGTCGTGGGGGAGTAGCTAACTAGCCTAGGGAATGGACTAATGGCCTAATGCGTTAGTAGAGACAATTTTGATGAAAGTAAGATATTTGTGTCCGAATTTTGAAATAAAAGATAGATTTGATCCGAAATTTAAGCTGACAAGTAATATTGACAGTCAAACATTTTTTCGTCTATGATATGTTGACGTGGTTGTGACACGACTTCACGTCATTTATTTATAAAAAAATGGATAATATCCTATTTTGATATGAATTTTAATAAAAAGACATTTTTGGATAGAGTTTCAGATAATGTAGTTTTGTTCGAATTTTGAAAGAAATGTACTTGAAAAATACGTGAATTCTTTAGAAAAAAAGTTTGAATAAGACCACAAAATAGAACCTTAACTTTTCCCTATCTTTTCTTTTTTACTTGCATAAATCATAAACAAAAAGTAAAAAAAAAAGAAATTGGACCGGTTATTTGAAATTCCAGATCGAAATTGGCCTTGAGGTCAAAGTTCAAGATAAAATAGGTTACTATCCCTGTGACATGGAAGTCATGTTGCAGCCACCTCAGCATTATATGCTAAGTCATAAGAAGAAATGTTTAACTGTCAATATTAACAATCAACCTAAATTGTGGGCTAAATTTATTTATTACTTTAAAATTTGGACAAAACTGTCTTATTTCAACGTTCACGTCAAAATTGGCTAGCTCGGCCCGAAAAGAGAAATGAGATAGAGCCCAGATTTCTTTAGGGGTGGGTAACGGGACGGGAATGGGTACCCGCCCCGTTTGAAACGGGTACCCATTTCCATTTGGAGAGGAAATTCTATCCCATGTCTCAAACCCGTAAGGGTTAACTGGTACCCATTACCCTTACGGGACAGATAACGAGTACCCACAAGTACCCATATTAATCACAAATTATAAGATCGAGAATTCGTATGTACCATGAGGATTGCTTGGAGCGGGTGGCGCTGTAAATGTGCAAAGAAATGGAATGGTTTTAACGTGAGAATGAGTCCTCGTGGGAGAATGATGAAAAGCAATTAGTTCTGCTTGTATAGAAGATAATGTCTTACTGTTGTATTATTAGCTTTGTGATTATATACATCATTGAGAGACTAACAACTACTGCTAAACCACGTAGCTATATCAAAAGTAGGGTGGGCAACGGGACGGGAGCGAGTACCTGCTCCGTTTGAAACAAGTAACAATTCTCATTTGGAGAGAAAACTACTTCCCATGTCCCAAACCCGTACGGGTTAACGGGTACCCATTACTCGTACGGGACGGATAACGTGTACCTGCGGGTAACCCATATTAGCGGTTGTTGTGCTAACAATTAGTACAAGGAAGAAAAGGAGAAATGGGAAATTGCTTGGTAGCCAAGTCGTATGGTAGGACATTGATAAGATACACGAGATGAAATATTATGATTCATTCCCTTAATTAATTAATTTCTACAACCCTGACAATCAACTGATCCTAGTTTGATTATGTGTTTCCAGACCTGCAACGTACACAGCATATAGTTATGTAACTTTGTTAACATTTTGTGTTGGTGGCCGACTCCTACTTCTCGCCGGAATTTTCATCCTTAAATATAACATCATCTTATTAAGACTGAAAATTACAAGCAATAAAACTTAGGAGAAAGTTCCTAGAAGGCGCTCTAAGAAAAAAAAAAAAAAAAACATTAAGCCAACAGTAGCTACATCTTGCTAGGTTGATGTTCGTTGTTTTCAAGCTAAGGGATCAAGTGCGACTTGAGCCAAAGCAGCTACTCAGCAGCCCCCTGTAAGCTGTAACCTTTGTTTGCAAAAGCTAACGAACTTATGATGAGATTTCCAATTATGTACGCTCAACTCCTTTCATTAATCCTTAAAGTTCAATTAGTTGAATTACTTAGCTATCATCTAAATAAATGGACATTTTTAGTGGTTGGATGGGTAATATGGGCACCCGTAATACTCAAATGGGTATTAACGGGTAATCCGCGGGTACCCATTATAGAACTTATTGATCCCAAGTCCCATCCCGGAAAAAATTGCGGGTATTTGGGTACCCGTAACCCCCAAAAAACGGGACCTGTTTCCCGTTACCCACCCCTACTCAAAAGACATGTGCTTAACTACGTAGCTACAAATAAGCAGTCGAAAGAGAATAATTTACATATTAATTTATATATATCTATCACTGCTATGTTCAACAAAAGAAAATAATCCTTAAATCACAATTTGTTGAATTAATTAGCTATCATTTAATTAAAACGGCGGGTATTACGGTTACCTTGAATACCCAAACGGGTATTAACGGGTAACCGGCGGATACCTATTGTAAAAATGCTTGATCCCAAGTCCCATCTCGTAAAAAAAATTACGGGTATTTGGGTACCCGTAACCTAAAAAAACGGAACGGATATGGGTATACCCAAATACCCGTTTCCCTTTGCCCACCCCTGGATTTCTTGCCACGTCCCGCACCTCTACACACGTGTCACCTTCCTTCGTTATTGCTCAATTTGCTCGTTGGATAGGGTAAGGATTTGCATTAGTAAATTTGAAGGCGGATTGAGTTTTCATGATTTTGATAGAATATTGCAATGGTAGCTAACTAGGCTTGGAAACTCCTCCAAAGTCCTGAAAATATTCTTGCCAAAATATAAAGTTCGATATCACCCTAATGGGAATATCCTACTAGCTCGGCAAGTGTTGTGTCCATCATGGGCTTGGTAAGGTATTCTAGAGGGAAGAGACATATTGATAAAATGTTTGCGCTGACAAGTCGGATTAGGAACAAGCGTAACCATTCTCCAAGACCCATGGATTCCAATTGAACCTCCTTCCAATCCTATCTTGCTACCAGGGGTATGGGCGTATGGCTACAATATCCTTTGGTATCCCATCTGTTGGATCCGCTCTCGATGATCTGGAATAATCCTCCTCAAAATCCTATTTTACCCAACCACTATAGAGAAAATTCTCTCCATTCCGCTTCCATCTTACCCACATGATGATAAGCTAATTTGACATTATGATAAATCTGGTAAGTACACAGTGAAATCAGGATACCACCTCCTTTCTTCAGAAATAAATCCTCCCCATAATGATATTCCAAATTTCTTGAACACCAGGTTTTGGAAATTCTGAACATCCTAGTTCCTCCCAAGCTTAAATTCTTTTTATGGGGAATGGTTCGTGGTTTCTTACTGGTAAGGAATTTTGAAATACCAAAGAATTAAATCCTCCGATTCATGCCCTACATGTTGTGAGGAGGTTGAAGATCTAAAACATTGTTTTTCTATTGCAGAATCTCTTGCGAACTCTGGGTATTAACAGGTTTAGATGCCCTTCGTGATTCGATGAAGGGAACTTCTTTGGACTTAGCATAGAGAAACTTATTTTTTTAACCTCTCATATGTCCAAGAGTGATGTTGCATTTATAGTGTTCCTCTTCTGGAGGATATGGGAAGGTAGATGTAAGGCGACATATGAGTATATTTTATACCAATCCCAAGTTCTGTACATGCAATTAACGACAAGTGTGGTGGAATGGCAAGCAACAAAGATACAAAGAGTTGAGAAGAATACAATAGCACAGAGACTAGCATCGCGTTCTTCCACAGGCCAAGCTGTTAACATCAACGTCAAGGATCAGATGTAAGCTATCCTTGTGAGGGGATTTTGGTCCGATTTGATGGGACCACAAGATCACACTATGGTTGTGCAACCGACTTTGTTGACTTCTCAGGTGATGGAATTGTCTCTTTTGCTTTTGCTAAAGCTTATGTTGGAATTACTAATGTTTATACATCATAATTTTTGGCCCTTCGTGATGCTATTAAATGGTGTCTTACACATAATTTATTTGTTGTTTCTTTTTGTGGAGATTCACAAGTGGTCATCTAGGGACAAGGATGTTACTTTAAGGAAGTCACTACAGGGGCAATCTTAGAGGAAGTTCTTCGTCTCTCCTCTTTCTTCGAGTCAATCTCGTGTCTTTTCGCTCTTCGGAGTTTTAATAGAGTCGCCCACCTTTTAGCAAAACAAGTTCTTTCATTAGGAGTCCGGTTGCATACATACTATCGTTCTTTATTATTGTCTTGTTTGTAGTTTTGTTGCTTTCAGTGGAGACTAACGGAAGGTAGCGACCGGTGCCCAAACTTAAACTATTGAACTAATCTTAGTGACCATGAATGGATAAAATATTTCTAGTGGCAAAAGTGAAGCTTTTTAGTAATCTCAATGACCAAACTTGCAATTTACCCCTTGTTTATATGAAGATCAACAATTGAGGAACTATAAATCTGCATATCACTTGATTGATGATTGATGAATGATGATTTTTGGTGTTGGAGTCTGCTGGAAGTTTGATGCTGAAGTATGCTAGAATTTTATTGGGATTTACTGGAATTTTGTTGCTGAAAATCAACTTATCTATTGAAAACTTGCTATTGCAGGTCTGCTGGAATCAACAGGAATGTTACTATAATTTTTTTGGAATTTAATGGAATTTTGTTGTTGGATTTTTTTGCTGCTAAAAATCTTCTTATTTGCTGAAATTTTGCTGCTGCAAGTACGCTAGAATCAACTGGAATGTTTATGGATATTTACTTGGAATTAACATAAATTTTTTGTTAGATTTTTTTATGCTGGAATTGCTTCTAGAATTTCCAAATTCTCATTTTAAACTTGGTTTACATGTTAAACATTTCATTATTTGGTGTTATGTTAATTGTCATATTGGCTATTTAATTTAATTTGTTATTAAATTTTTTGGTTTAATGAAAAATGAGGGAAGAATGTAGAGTGAGACTCTCGCGTGTGTTCGTGTTTCTTTCGGATAATACCCGATATTCGTTGGAGTTCGGGCATGATAAAAATTTATTATCGATGCTTCTAGTTCGACCGAATTTCGATATACTCGAATATCTTCTTGACGGGATCGGATTCCACTATCTGTACCCGCCTCGATCCATTGCCGACCCTAAGAAGAGGAGGTGCAATGATGCAGGTTGTACTTGTACATTTTTTTACAAGGATGATATAAAAGTGGGTAAATTGCACGGTTGGTCACTGGAAGTGCTAAAAAATTCATGTTTGATCACTAAAAAAATTTTATTCCATTTATGGTCACTGAAAGTGATTTAACGTTTTATGTTTGGCCACTTTCCGTTAGTCTCCGTTAGCACCGTCAACGTGGCTAACAGAAATGCCGATTCACTCATTTTTAACCCCCCCCCCCCCACCCCCACACACACATCATAAATCCAACCCGCCACATTAGCAAAAACCCGCATAATCAACAACCTAACTCAACCCATAATCTGGCTTCCCTCTCGACCCACCCACCCAACAGAAAAGAATCCAACCTCCAATCCTCCTTCCAACACCAAATCCGTAACTCCCCCAATGCTCAATTCCCCCCAAAAGTCCAACATTCAATCCTCCTCCTTTCACTAATCGACTGGTTTCCCCAATCGGCATCTCTCTCCTTACTTCTCCTTCTCCGGCCACCGCCATAGCTGAAGCCCAAAAATTTGACGCGACCCTTTCCACCTACAGCTTCTGCTTTCTAATCAATCACCCGAGGAAGGCGGATAGGGAAATAGATGCTACAGTCATATCGCATCTGGGAAGTGTGCAAGGTGGCGCTCGAGGCAACATAGTTGTCGCCGATGGCGACGGGAGCAGGGGCCCCAGACTTCGACTTGCCAGATGAAAATCACAGCAAGTATGTCGAACGAATCGGCGCCGGAGCATCCGTCTACCTCTCTGCCGTCCTCGAGTGTCTCGCCCCTGAGGTTCATTACCGCTGAATAATTTTCCCCCCTCTTCTCATAAGTACATTCGGTCAATCAGGGATTTGTTCTTGATGTTGGTTGGAATTTTTTATTGGCTAGGTTTTGGAGCTCACAGGGAACGCAACGAGGGATAACAAAAAGAACATGGGTTATGGGCTTGGATGTTGTCAAATTGGGAGATATCCTAATTGAAGATCTCCGTGATATTTTTGAACAATTTTGAGGAAACTAGGGATTTGGCCGGCGAGGGAATTGTCGGCGAGGTTCAACTCGAAAGCCTGGTTAGGTTGGATATGTAACTGGGTATTGTTACTAGGGCTGTTAATGATCCGAGCCGAGCCAAGCCGAACTTTTCCATAGTTCAGGCTCGACTCGTTAATATATTTTCAGGCTCGAACTCGGCTCCTATTCGTCACGAGCTTTAATATGCAACCTCGAACTCGGCTCGTTTATGAAAATGAAAGCTCAAGCTCGATTCGAGCTCGGCTCGCAAATATGTTTATGAGCCCAAAATCAAGTTTAGCACATATAATGTTAATTATCGCTCAAGATCGAGCTAGAACTGAGCACAAAATATACATTCAAACCTATAGCAAAGTCTAGCAAAACAAAACACAATATTTATCAAAATTTCAATACATAAAATATATGAATTCCAATCACTTCTATTGCCAAACCGTTAAATGAGCTAGTTCGCGAGCTTTCTCGCTGAACATGGTATGGCTCGAGTTCAGCTCGTTTAGTTAACGAGCTTGTTCGCGAGCCAGCTCGATTAAGACGAATCGAGTGTCGAACAAGTTGTTCTCGAGTCGGATGCCGAGCCGTTCATGAGCGGCTTGGTTAATTAATAGCTCTAATTGTTACACTGAATTGGTTCAATTGATTGGTTTGGTTAGGAAGTGTGAGTCATTGGTTTTATGACATGGCGAGTTAAAATTGGGTGAGTCAGCGTTCCTGTTAGCCACATCAGCAAAATACTAACAATGTTAATGGAAACTAACGGAAAGTGACCAAACGTGAAGCGTTTAACCACTTCCAGTGACCATGAATGAAATAAAATACTTTTAGTACTTTCAGTGACCAAACGTGAATCTTTTAGTACTTCCAGTGACCAACTTTGCAATTTACCCAAATTATTAAGAAAAGAAAACAATGAGAAATCAAAAGGTACACAAATAACAAAAAGGAAGCATCCCCTTCAAATCAATCTCGATTGTACTTGTACATTTATTCATTTCTTGTATGTATGCACACATTTGTATTCACGTGTCACTAAATCTTCCTTGAATGGGTAATAGATTGGCTTTCTTTAAGAGAGTATGAGGTCACTGAATTGGTGAATCTAATCAATGAACAAAACCCATCAATCCATATAACGAACAATCAATTTGTCTTATTTAGGATTCAATGAATTGGTGTTGTTGAAATTGTTCATATATACAATATTTTGCAAAACAAATAACATGTAAGATTAATTGTACTAGCTGACATAATTCAATTTCTCTGCTTAAGTAATCTTATTTCCCCTCTAGTATCTCAGGTTATGGAATGATTACTCCTAGGATCATAAGGATGTACCTTTCCGGTGTAGCGGTACCTCAAACTCCGAAACATCGGACGTAGTGAATTGGCGAGAACTACACTTGACTCTATTTTTTTATTTGAAAAGATTGCACAAAAAATCAGTTTGCATTTTGGCAGTTTCGGTACCGGAAAATCGTGTATAAAAAAACCAGAGGGGTTAGGTGCTATTTATAGAAACCTAAAGGGTGTATAGAAGGGAGACGACTCTTCATATGGGCGGTTACACTCCAACCATTTCAATGATTCCAACCGCCACATCGGTTTGGGTCGATTTGGTTCAACTCAGTTTGGTTGGTTACACAAATCAATTTTAAACGTTATCAACATATTACATCAAATCGACGGAATTCAAAGCCGCACCTTCCCACATCTCACCAATGTGGTATTCAAGAGTATCTTTTGACTTATACCCCTTTCATTCTCATTCACACCATTAAAAATTCGTTGGGTCGTTACAGAACTAATCCTTTCTTATTAAATTGGCAAAATACACTTGTATTGCCATAACTTTGACGTTTTTTTTTGCATATATAGCCAATTTTCTAAAAATACACAGATATAGCCAGATTTTAAAACTAGTTTGACAAATTTAGCCATTTCTGTTAAAAACTTTAACATCGATAATGACAACATCAACGTTATACTGAGGTGTATGATACCTCAACTCACACGGGAGTCCAATAAGACACACCTATGCCACCTGGACGCTAAGTAATATTTTAATTACAAAAATATTATTTTATTTAATAAAAAAATAAAAAATATCTCACACCTACCGCCTGCAAAAAATCCTCTTTTCATTAGGGTTGGCAACCCTGACCCACCCATCGGGTATCCACCCGAAACCCGCCCAGATGGTGACCTAAAAATCCGTCCGTTGTGGGCTTTTGGAGGATTCGGGTTTACCCAAAAACCCATGAGTTGCGGGTGATGGGTGGCGACGAAATAAGTGGTATCCTCCCCGCCCCGTATCATAAAATGACATCATTTTAGACATCGTATATAAACCAAACAGACCAGTGGTTGAAACCCTAATCTTCATTTTCCACTCGACCTCCCCAATGACTGCTCCCATTCCTCTTCCTCTTCAAGAACCTCCCCAAAACCTAGCTACTTTCTCTCCATCAAATCTCCCAAACATCCAATCCGCTCAAAAATCTCGCTGTTCCCCACGATTTCCTCCCAATCCAGGTTGTTTATACAACTATGATTGCCAGTAGGCAATCATTATCTCTCAATTTGGCTAATTGGAGGCTAGGTTTATCGGCGATTTCGTCGGGAAACAACATGCAGAACCCTAAATTTCCCGCTGCAATCTTCGATTTGCAGCTATTGGGGGAAATCGGCGTGATATCACACATCGAGCGAGATAAGTTCTTTCTCCCTTTTCCTTTCGTATTCTGTTGCACTTTCTTGCCTTCTTCCTTATTCTCGTATATATAGTAACCCCCCTCGATTTATTTCAGGTCACTGGTCAGCCTAACTTCTTCCTTAAATCCATTACTTGCACTCTGTTCATAGCACAGTCGAGGTAAGCACAAACTTATACCTTCATTTGTCCAGATTCATGAGCTAGGTCTTTATCAATCAATGCATGCTAATTTTATTTTGTTTGTTTTGGCTTTGTTTGGGAGTTCTTCAGGTTCGCATTAGGCATCAGCTCAGTGCTCACCGTCTGCAGTCCGGTGAACAGAGTCTCCCTCTCCAGATACAGGTTAGGCATAACCTTACTCCAATTCAACTCTCGATTGTAATTTGTATTGTGTGTTGTGTGATTTGTCTGGGTAGTTATGGTTGATGGATTGCATGCAATTATTTAATTGTTTATGTAGATGGATGGTGCTACTGAAAATTTTGATTTTAATGCGAATGATCCTACTGTGCCTTCTAATCAAAACGGTAATGGTAATGGAAATGGTAACGGTAATGGTAATTATAATGGTAATGGTAATGGTAATGCTACTGCTACTGCTAATGGTTCTGGGAATGATGCGTTGACTAATGGAAATGAAAATGTTGAAATAATTCTGGATGAAGACTTCTGATGTCTGGCCACATTTTGTGAGGGTGAAGTTTAATGGGGAGATTAAATCCAAGTGTAAATACCGTCGAAAATTTTTAGGTGGTGATACTAGTAATAGAACCTCCCACCTGAGGAACCATTACAAAACTTGCACCCAAAGAAAGATACATGAAGGTAGGCAGAGAGTTCTTGGTCCTGATTATAAACCAACTGGAAAACCCCTACTATCTGCTACTCAATTCAATTCTGATGTGTTTAGGAAGGAATTGTGCTCTATGATTATGGTGCATGAGTATCCCCTGAACATTGTTGAACACTTGGGGTTTAAACGTTTCTGTTGTTCTTTGTAACCCCAGTTCATTATCCCTTGTAGAAATACAGTGAAGAGGGACATATTTGCTTTATATGGGGCTGAAATTGCAAAGCTTCAGAAGGTTTTAGATGGTAATTTTGGTAGAGTTGCAGTCACAACTGATATGTGGACTGCAACTTACCAAAAGATGGGGTATATGGCAGTTAATGGGCATTTTATTGACAATTCTTGGAAACTTAAAAACATTATGTTGAGCTTTGTCTATGTCCCTGCCCCTATTACTAGTAAGAGGTTGGGATATAGGTTGTTCTAAGTGTTTGCTTGGTTGGAATCTTGATAGGAAGTTGTCCTCGATTACCTTAGATAACTGTACCACCAATGATGCCATGATTACTCATATGAAAACTAAACTTGCTATGGATGATCTGTTGTTGGATGGTGTGCTTGTTCAAATGAGATGTTCTGCTCATGTTTTGAATCTATTGTGAAAGATGGGTTGGAAGTCATCAAGGATGGCATTGAATTGGTTAGAGATAGTGTTGTGTAATGGAAGTCCACTCCTAAGAGGGTACAAACCTTCTTTGAAACTGCTAAGCAGCTTAAAGTGCCTTGTGAGAAGCAACTTGTGCTTGATTGCCCAACGAGGTGGAATTCCACCTATGATATGCTATCTACTACCATTGTGTATAGAGATGTTTTCCCTCGTTTGAGGCAGTGGGATAGTCAATACACCACTGTCCCTACTAGTATGCACTGGGATTTTGCTGCTATGGTCATTGATAAGCTGGAAATTTTCAGTGAGATTACAAAGCTGTTTTCTGGCAGCAAGTATCCCACTGCTAATTTGTTTTTTCCCAAGGTTTGTGATCTGAGACCGAAATTGTTGGAATGGTGTGCTGATACCAATTCTCTTATCTCGGCTATGGCTGAGAGTATGTGGGAGAAATTTGCTAAGTATTGGGATGATATACACTTGGTTCTCGTTGTGTCAGTGGTTCTTGATCCTAGATACAAATTGCATGTGATTGAGTATTATGCTGCTAAGTTTGGCAGTACTAATACCAACTTGGTGGCTGATAAGATTAAGCAACATATTTGTGGTTTGGTACTTGATTACCAAACCAAGCCTGAGAAGAACAATTCTAGTTCTTCAACTGCTTATGATAGTTCTTCTACTCCTGCAAATGATGATCATGATTTTGAACTGTTTTTTAGTCGGAGGAAAAAAAGCAAAGCAACTCTGATCCATACTGAACTGGATCACTATCTTCATGAGGAACTGATTCCTAAAAGGTCTCCTGACTTTGATATACTAATGTGGTGGAAACTGAACGGCCTTAAGTACCCCACTTTGCAAGCAATTGCAAGGAATTTCTTGGCCATATCAATCACATCAGTGGCTTCTGAATCTGCTTTTAGCTCTGGTGGGAGGTTAATAGACCCTCATCGGAGTAGATTGCACTATGATACAATAGAGGCAATGATGTGTACCAGGAGTTGGATTATGGAGGAAATGCAACAAGGTAACCTGCAATTACTGCCATATTAGTTTTCTAATGTTAATGGGATTGAATGTTAATTGTCTTTTTTATTATTTTCTTCAATCAGCAGAATCATCAAAGGCTGCTATAGAGGCAATGGAAGGGGTGTTCTCAGCTCTAGCAATTGAAGATTCCGGTAATGAAGATCAAGACGTAGCTGGTAAGATAGTTGGTTCTCAATTTTGGCTTCTGTATAATTAGTTCGATTTAGATTGGTACTTAGTTTGATATTTTCAATATCTAACTATATTTTTTTTTTATTCTTGCAGTTCAAGGGGGACTTGTGATGAAGAAGCATCTAATATTCCTAGACGGCTGATTTGTTGAAAGGTTCAAGGTATTGAGCCAGACTTGAGGCTTTTAACTTGTTCAATTTAAAATGAGTTTCACTTCTCTAACTGTGTTTGCTACTCTGTTTCTTGCAGTGATTGCTTTTCAACGATGAATGTTGTTGTTGAGTTGGTTTCCAACATAGTTTTGCTTGCTTTTGGAATAAAAGATCAAAGGAACTCGTGTGCTAGTAATATAGGTTTTAGTTCGATTTATGGATGATGTTATTGGGGCTGTCTGCCTTTGTTTTTGTATCTCGTCCTTTTGAACTTGAACACTAGTGAGTAGATGTAGTGAAGAATATGTTATATGGGTTTCGGGTGGTGGGTTTTTGGTTGCAACAGCTTGTTTGGTTGCTGCAACCTATCACTTTTGTTTCATTGTTTGAACAATGAAGATCTGGGTGCTGGGTGGTGGGAGGTTTACAACCCTAGATCTTCCTTTTGTGTTTTGAATTTATGTGCCTTGAACATCAAGGTACTTTGAAGTTTGAATTTCAGGGATTTTAGGTTAGTTTTTTTCCTTTCCTTTTGTTTTTTCTCAGGATCCGTGGTGATCCGAGGTTTACCCAAAACCGTCTGGGGATGGTGACGAAAACCAAACGCCCCCCGTTAAAGCTACGGTGACGGGGACGGAGAAATTCGTTTGCCTTGATGGATGGGTAACGGGAACTAACTACCCGTCCCCGATCCGCCCCGTTGCCAACCCTACTTTTCACACAAGTTCCGCACCACTTACTCCTAGATCTCCGGAGCTTTGACGCTGCTCTCTCCACCATCGCAAGCTCCTCCTTTATTGTCGGCTCCGCCAGCAGCTTGGAACTCCAGCTTTTCCCGTAACAACAACGCTTCTACCTCCTCCCCTGTCTACTCCGACGCTCTCAATGAACGTGTCGTCTTGGGATCTGCCGACCTTGATCTACTTGTCTCTGCCTGGATCCGATCCGCCTAAAACCCTGAAAATCTGCCTGAATCTAGTTTGCTCAGGGGTAGAAGAAATCCTTAAACTCGAGCTATGTTGTACGGAGGTGTTGCAATTGGAGATGAGATGGGTGGACCCGTAAACCCTACGGCGGCAACGAAGGTGTAACAGTTGCAGATTTGGTTGCCTTGACAAAGCCTCTAATCGACGATAGAAGCACAACCATCGGAGAAGATAATGAAGGAGGACAGATCTGGCTCGCCGTCACCCGTACCCTAGAATTGGAATCCATTACGACAGTTCCCTCAAGGCGATTCCCTCTTATTTCGTCACTATCGAGATCGAGATATGATTTGGGGGAGCGCAATTCCATTGAAGCGGTACAAAGGGGTTTGTTAGGTGTGAGGGTTTGGAAAACAGGGAATGGAGCAGCAGAGGAGGAAGAATGGCTGAGGGCAAGGGAAGGGATGGCAGTGGTGTGAGAGAACAGAGATGGGGAGGAGGGACAGATAGGGGTGTTCAAATGGTTGATGTGGTAATAACCAAACCAATTAAGCCTAAATTTCATTAACCATGGAATAAAATGTCTTAACGAAACCGTCCAAATTAACACGAAAACCAAATTAACTAAACCAAAGTTTAATTGGTTTGGTTAATTGGATTAACCAAATAACATAACATTACATAAAAACAATTATCCTGTTAATGAATAAACCATAACCATATGTTATTACTATCATAAACTATCATTATATATAAGCAATAATAATAAGATTAATCATCCATAATTATTATCATCATTCGAGTTAATACATCATTCATCATCTCTGGACTTATTATAGTTAGCTTACAACAAACCCTTAAAATAAATATTAAATACATACCAATACCACTCATGAGGAAGTTAAAACTCTCCTACAAAACACTTAAACTATACATAGTTTGAGTTGGTTGTCATGGTACGTAATCCTAAAGTCTATTAGCTGTCCAAAATGTTTTGGTTTAGTAAATAGGCATACCCATTTAATTTTTGACCCATAATGTTTTGGTTTGTTGTGCACATAGAAATATAATAGGGAATCACGAAAGTTTGGTTTGGTTGGTTGCATGGAAGTATAAATAATTTTATATATTACGTGTATCATTAATTGGTTAATTGGTTTCATTGGTTAGCAGTGTTGAAACCAAACCAAACCACCTAAATCAAAACACCTAAATTGTTTAACCAAACCAAACCAATTATCCAAATTAACCAAACCAAATTAATCGAATGCTACCGATTAATATGATTTCCACGGTAACCAATCCGTTTGAACACCCCTAGCAACAGAGATATCAGATGACTTTTCAATTTTATCTTCTTTTGTTTTTGTTTTGCTTTTTATTTGTTTACTAATTACAATAAGAAAGAAAATTTTCCACATAGACATTGGTTTTGATAAAACGTTAGTACAGTCAACATTCCGTTAAGTTATTGGACAAAATGACTATTTTTGTATATTAAAAAAAAATTATAATTATATCTGTGAATTTTGCCTATTAAATTTAATATAATTTTAATCCTTGTTTATAGGTTTTCAGTTTGAATTTTTAGATAGTACGACTATCATCTTCTGCTAGGCGAGAAAGCAAATGACAGGTCGAATTCAGAGAACTCGAATCTCGCATTTTTATGATCACCTGTCTCTCTGACCGCGAGATCAGTAGTCGCCCTCAGCTCAGGGTGACATTGCTTTGCATCGTAGTCCATATGGTGAGTCCATAAAATAAAAGCAAAATCCCATGAAAACGGTTTCCTACAGAAGATTCCAAAAGACCAAAACGCTGCGATTCCGCACGGGCCCCACCATCTCCTTCCCGGCCAAGTAGAAGGCGAGAGGGAGAGGGAGAGGGAGAGGGAGAGGGAGTGAGAATAACCCCACATCCACAAAACATAATTTTCCATCCGGCTACTGTCGTTTCTGTGATCGGCGACCTCTCTCAATGGCGGAACCAGGGGACACCGCGAAGAAGCAGTCACAGAATCCACCCAATTTCGTCACTCTCGTCCAGCTCAAAGAGCGATGGCTGAAGAAGAAAGCGGAGGAGGAAGAAGAGAGGATTCGGAGGCAGCAGCAGCAGGAACGGGAGAAGGAGGAGGAGGAGCGACGCCGGAAGCTCGTAGAGGCTAAGGAGGAAAATGAGCGACGGAGGAAGCTCACTGAGGCGAAGGAGCTCTCTGGGTCGGAGGTTGTGCGGCAGAATTTCGGAACCTCGAGTCGCTCGCGCCAAAATCGAAACCGGAGGACGCAGGGCAACGTGGTGGCGACGGTGGGTTTCGCTGAGGTCGTTGATGATGGAGACAAAGATGACGAAGATGAGGAACGATTGTGGAGAGTCAAAGAGGCGAAGGAGCACGCAAAGTCGGAGGCGGTACGGAATTCCGGAACATCCAGTCAGTGGCGCCAAAATCGATCCCGGGGGACGCCGGGGAACTTGGCAACAGAGGCTCGCGCTAAGGCCGTTGATGACGGAAACGAAGACAACGAAGCCATCAAGCTTAAGGAAGAGCGGTACAGAAGAAAGAAGGAGCTCAAGGCGTCCAAGAGGGCGAGAGAGAAGCAGAAGGTTAAGGAAGCAGGTAAGCAACCAGTGGTATCCGAGGCTGTGAGTATAGAGAGTGAGAGTATGGAAGTAATGATGGATTCTCAACGGAAACATGATAATGTCGAGAAGCAAACCAGTAAAAGAGGATCGGAGAATGGAAATGGGAAGAGTGTCCCGCCTAGGAAACCCCAGAGAAAGAACAAGGGGAAGATTGGTAATGTAGAGAAAAAGGGAACTAAACTGGAAATCGATGAGAAGTTGGGTGAGCTTTCAATGGAAGAAGAGAGTGGTAGTTGGTTTGAAACTAGGAATGGCGCTAGTGATATTGTCGAGAAGGACACAAGTAAAACAGGAGCAGAGACTGGGAATGGGAGTGTTCCAAGTAGGAAACCCCAGAGAAAGTACAAGGTGAATATGGAGTTCCGAGGGAAGTTTGGTGATGTGGAGAAAGAGGGAAGTAAATTGAAGATTGAGGAGAAGTTGAGCGAGCTTTTGATTGAAGAAGAGAAAGGTGGGTTTGAGACTAATAATGTCGAGAATCAAATTAGTAAAGGATCAGAGATTGGGAATGACAGTGTTCCATCTAGGAAACCCCAGAGAAATAGCAAGGCGGATATGAAGTTTGGAAGGAAGCTTGGCAAAAATGCGGAGAAAGAGGGAAGTAAGCTGGAATTCAAGGGAAATTTTGGGGAGCTTTCAATTGAAGAAGAGAGTGGTGGTTTTGAGACCAAGAATGGCATTACTGATGGAGATCAGAGTTTTCCATCTAGGAAGCCTCAGAGAAAGAGCAAGTTGAATATGGAGTTTCGAAGGAAAGTGGGCAAAAATGTGGAGCAGGAGGAAAGTAAACTGGAGATCAAGGGAAACTTAGAGGAGCTATCAATTGAAGAAGAGAATGGTGAGTGTGAGACTAAGAAGGGTGTTAGTGAGGTGAAGCATGGTAGAGGTCGTGGAAGATTGAATCTCTCTGAACGTCAGAATGATGAGTGTAAAGAAAGAAGCTATAGGATATTTAATGGTTCGAGAGGAAGGAGGAATGTTCGCGGTGGTAGAGTTTATCAGAATGAAAGGATGCGAGGTTATAATAGAGATTGCGAGCTTGGAGTTTGGGTAAGGAAAGGAGACGTTGCTGGTCCTGGTGTTGAGAGCACTGTGAAGAGTTCAAATGTTCTGTTGCAGGATACAAGCATTTAACAAATGGTATTGATTTACATACACTTTTTTCCTTTATCCAGCTGCAAATAGGTTGTGTGTTGCCTTTGCTTCACTCTAAAATTGGCTCTGCATGCTAGTATATAGAAGTAAGGAAAGAATTAAGCTTGCTGTGGTCCATTATACTTATATTTAAGAAAATACCACAATTATAGCAACTGGCTTGTCTGTTTTAGATGAGCATGTTGCAGATTCTCATTTTTGTATTTTATGCCACTTAGCTTAGGAACATGAAAAGAGCTGGCTGCATTCTGTAGAAGTCAAGTCATAAATAGTTGCACCTAGTTGGTTGGTACTGGGATATTTCCTCAAGCATTTAGTGGGGTTGCCGGTATAATTGTAGACTATGTGCTACTTGAGACTTAACGAGACTGAAGCTGAAGCTCTTTTCCATGTTGAGGCACCTACAGCTTCACTTATGAGCATGTGATTAGTCCATAAGCAGCATTATATTACTTTCTTATGTGGGCTCTGCTCTAATAAAATTGGGATCTGGTTTCTTGTGACGTCTGGGGTAAGAGAATTATTGTTCTTATGTACCTGGTTTACTTTTTAGCGGTTTCTAACCTATGAAGCATGGAAGAGCTTGTGAGTCTCTACAACTGATTACCATGTGTAATTTGAATGATTGGCCGTCCAGTTAGTATCTGTCCGATCTTGTGCTTCGTTGAATCTAGGGCAAGTTGGTAGCTTGGCAAGGAGTTGGCAAATTTCTGTTTTATATGGATACATACAGTTAAGAGGGTCTCTTTTTGGCTGAATCAACCACGTTTATAATATGAGGTCTCATCTGCATCTAGTTTTGATGGAGGTTATAGAGTATCACTCTACTATGCATGTATGCGGGATGTGAGAGCAGCTTGATTTGTGTCGAATGATGAGCCCTGCTCCGTAGTTAGTAATTACCAATGGGCAGTTACCATGTTGATTGAGCTACTTCCAATCCGAATCCGTGAAAGGATGCTGGAACCTGTGTTTGACCATGTTGCTTTTAACATAATCTTCAATGCAGGTTAGACTGCAAATGGCTGGCTAGAGAAGGAGAACTAGTAGCAGATGGGACATGCAAATGAGGAATTGTAGAAGTGTGAATATAAGAAGAAAGGAGCTAATGGAATAGGAAAGTAGAACAGTTCTAGTCATATCAGACTCGAAGGGAAACCTTCGATGAAGTACTTGGTTTTGATGATCAAAATCTCAGGAATAACGATTTTTTTTTGCCTAATCAGCCATTTGTTTAATCACATTCTTTTGTGCTGTAACCCTCGAATCTCGTCTTGTCTTCCAGGTCCATGGCTGAATATGATTGTGATGCTGAACATTATTGCTCCATTTAAACTGAATCTCTTGAATGCGATGTTGATTGTTGAATGAACATTATTGCTTAAATCAAATTTAGCTCCTGGCCTATTGGAAGGCTGGTCGTTGACTAATTTGTTATAACTTATAATTTAATGGGATTTGGATCCTTGGGCTGAAGCCTAAGGAGCGTTTGGCACTAACACCAGGAAAGGAAAGCCTCGTATTGTCAAACAGCATTGATGAAGGGTCGCCGCCTCGCCGGTAGGTTGGGTGTGTGTATGAAGAACAGCTAAGCAAGTGTATGAAGAAGGGAAACGAAAATGAAATTTTAAAAATAACTTTTTTTATCGGTAATTTTAAAAATAACTTAAAAACTAAATTAATAATAGGGTTAGCATGCTCCAGGATCTATACACCATTGATCTAATCTAACAAATGAAATTAATTATCAATCCCATTAATGTTTTATACATGCATTATAGGTCCTAACAAATTTTACCATTATGGTCTTTATTAAAGTACGTTATTTCTTCTTGACACAACTTTTCAGTACCCAAACTTTGGACCTTGCTACGGTTACTTGTACTTTTCGATCTACCTCAGTTAGGATTAGGTCGACCTAATTTGTTGTTTCAGTGTAAAAACAGTTTCATGGTGCCTACTTTGGAGATTCATATCATACAATTGGCTCGATAGAAATTGAAGATTAATGGCTTGTTTTGAAGTTGGAGTGTCCCTCTACACATTGAAGTGCTTGGGAGCTCGATAGGAAGTTCAGAAGACAATTTTTGAACCTGACCAAAAGGCTATACCAAAACTGGAAAACTGCTTGAAAATGGCCAAGTCTGGGAACGTGTTTGTGAAGTCTACTTTGGAGCTCAATTCGAGAAGCATGGATGAGAGTCGAGTCCAAAGACCTCTATTACATGAAATAATGTATGTTTGTCTAAAAAGGAGAGATATTGGATGAAAGATTGGATATCTGGAAGGCTTCAAACAAAAGGCTCGAAGTTGCTACGAAGGCATTGGATTAAAGCTGCCAGAAAACAGCCTTCGTAGCAACTTCCAGTCTTTTGTTTGAAGCCTTCCATATATCTAGTGATGGCAATGGGGCGGGGCGGGTACCTCAATTCCCATGCCCCGCCCCACGCTACTACGGGGCGGGGCAGGTAAAACCCGTGCGGGTACAGGGCGGTGCGGGTCGACCCACTCTTACATGTTATTCGAAAAAAATACAAGTAAATTTTACTTTTTACGATAAAACGAAGGGTAAAACAATTTAAGAATGAAAAATAGTGATAATAGAATGGGTAATCGAGTTTAACAAGTTGAAAGAGCAACTCTAACTAGTTGAAGAAAAGTCAAAATAGGAGAAATATGTATAGAAATTGTAAGAAATTGAGATAAATTGAGTCTAGAACGGGGCGGGGCAGGGCGGGTCGGAAGTAGATACCCATGCCCCGCCCCACGCTACTGCTGGTCGGGTAATACCCGCCCCATTGCGGATCAGGTCGGGTAATACCCGCGGGGCGGGTTGAAATTGCCATCGCTACATATATCCAATCTTTTATTCAATGCCTTTCCTTTATAGATAAACATACCTACTTTAATGTGGCAGAGGCCCCTGGACTAGACTCTCATCTATACTTCTCGAATTGAGCTCCAAAGTAGGCTTCACAAACACGTTTCCAGACTTAGCCATTTTCAGGTAGTTTCCCAGTTTTGGCATAACCTTCTGATCAGGTTCAAAAATGGTCTTTTGGACTTTCTGTCGAGCTCCCAAGCACTTAAATGTGTCGAGGGACACTCCAGCTTCAAATCAAGCCATTAATCTCCAATTTCCATTGAGCCAATTGTAAGATATGAATCTCCAAAGTAGGCACCATGAAACTGTTTTACATTGAAACAACATATTAGGTCGACCTAATTCTACCTCTGGTCGACCGAAATCAGATTAGGTCGACCTAATCCTAACTAAGGTCGACCGAAAACAGATTAGGTCGACCAAATTCTAACTGAGGTGGACCGAAAAGTGCAAGTTACGTTGACTTGCAAGGCACCATAGGCGCACCCCCAAACTTTATATTGTTGTCTTCTATCCATCTAGCTTTGTTTTATCTCTTCCTCTATTAAAATCCTAAATTTAAAATATTATCCAAAAAACCAGGCCATTTCCCATCATCGCCTTTTTTTTTTATAATGGCCCCATCATCGCCTTTCTTATATACTATCTTTTTAACTGGCTCGTTGACCGGAGAGATTTATTTTATAATTTATATTAATTAACTTATTTATATTTTTAAATTATTTTGAATCTTCTATTATGTTCTTGATTCATAATAGAGTTTGTAGTATGTCTACATTGAAAATTTTCAATATTTAGCAATGTCGCTGGCACGTTCAATTTTGAACTTATGTCAAAATTTGTAAGTTAAAACACTAATATTTAGCGTACGTCAACCTGAAACCCATATATATATATATATATATATATATGGTGGCGTCTTCGGTGCACTCACTTTTTTGGGTGCATTCAGTGCACTCGCTTCATAACCGTCATTTTAAACATGCGATTTATATCAAAATGATATCAATCATCACTTATGATGTATGAACAATAACGCACATGAATTTGCACAAAAAACATTGAAGATTTACTTTAATTTGAAGGATTTAGAGTTTAGAGATTTAAGGTTAGGGTTAGGGTTTACAATTTGGGGGTTAGGGATAAAACTCAAAAATGGAGGTCTAGGACTTAAGGTAATCCACTAATTAGTTGTTATCATATATTATATCATCCTATTACACTAGTTCTACAAATTAAAATTGAAAATCCGACATATTAAGACTAGTTTTTGAGTTGGGTGCATTGAACGCACTCATTTTTGCGAGTGCACCGAAGTATTCACCATATATATATATGATTCGTATGCTCCTGACACATACGATGCTCCAGGCTTTTGCACCATTGATCTAGATTATTAAATTTATAATTTATCAATAATTATTAGTACTAAATACACTCTCAAATAATTGTTTCGTACATATTAGCCCTCCAACAATTGTAACCATTACAATCCACTTCTTCCTTCCGTCGTTGAATCACTTCAACAGCTCACTGTCCCTCTCCTCGAGTCCAGAGTCGAGTGTAGTAGCTGAGCTAAATACTCCCACAAAAGCATGAATCAGAAAGCAATCAGTACTCCTTGATAGGAACGGAGAAGAACAGAAGGCAGCATCTGCAGTAGTCACCGGAGTGGCCATCAATTCGAGAAAACCCTAATTCTCATCGCCTGTGGAGAGTGACACAGGATTTTGTGGTGGAGAAAGAACGAAAGAAGAAGATAGACTAAGTGGAGACGCACAGAAGGAAGGAGAAAGGAGAACAGAGTGCCTGAAACGAGGGAGAGTTGGACCCCCAAATACGGACACCTCAAGTCCATCTCGTTGCCACCGCGATTCTACTGATAATTGAAAAGATTCTTCCATTTGCAAGTGCTTTGATGAACGAAATAAGAGTCTCCTCAATTGATCTCTTTTGGTAAGTGACACGCTAAAACACAACACCAAACTGCGACCAAGTGTAATCGCAGTCCGAGAATGCAGTAACAGGCAAGCTCTAATTGTCAACCCGGGGTCTAGATCTACTGCCTACTCCGTGTATATCTGTTATCTAGCCAACTAAGTCGATTGGTTGTGGTCTTAACTAAAAGCAGTAAAAAAGCAGGAATTGATTCGGTTTTCTAAAGAAAAGGAAGATTCACTCGGGAATGAGTCCCCCTAGCTCCTTAGTTGGGTCTCAGTTGTAATTACCCTGGGTTGATTTACTGTTGATTAAACTGCGGAAGATCCGATAGTAGCTTGGAATCTTGATAACCATGTAATTGCATGTATTTGCGCCCCTAGTTCTTATCCGTTTGAGGGGCATAGTCGTGTATTTTTGGCCTATTTTACGCCGGGTTGTGCTATTTTGTCATATTTCAGGTCCCAGGCGTCAAAGGAAAGGCTGAGCACGAGTTTCGGGGCATTCAGAAGTCTTTTCGTCGAGTTGGAGCCAAAACACGGGCACATCTAAAACAGAAGACGGCCGTGTTCTGTGGCCGTGCTTTTACTGCCGAGAGCTAATTGAGTTTGGCAAATTCAAGTTGCAAACACGGGCTGAAAGCACGGCCACGGCCGTGTCCTCTCAAAAGCACGGCCGTGTTTTCACCAACAGGTGGCCGTGTAATTAACCCTAGCCAAAGCACCGGCGGGCTGAAGCAAAGCACGGCCGTGCCCTCGACCGTGCTTTGGCCACTGATGCCCTTTTAAGCAGATTTCAGCCAAAACAGAAGGGGATTGGAGTTTTGAGAGAGATAGAGCGATTCCTAGAGAGAGAAAGTGACGAACAAGAGTCTCCAAGTGCCCTAGCTTGATCTTCATCACCATTGGAGGCCAGTTTGAGCTTGGAGAAGTGCCGATCAACGTCCAGGAGCAGGAATCCATCCTTCACAGTATGAATTCCGCGTCTGATTCTGCTTTTGCTTCTTTCTCCATGGAGTAGTTCTCCCATTCATCTGGGTATGGAGAACCCTAGATTTGTATGTTAGGCTTTGATTTTATGAACCCAAGTACTGATTCTATGATTTGATTATATTCAATTGAGGTTTGATTGATTGAATGACATGAATCCTGATCAAATTCCTGTTGTTTCTGCTTTAACCTAGAATGAGAATATCTGCCTAGGTTGATAGAGCATCCTTGATTGAAGGTAGGGAGTTGGTGACTTTAGTCGAGGAGCCAACTCACTATTCTGTACAGGATTTACTCCGGTAGTGGAGGTTTTGTTTGTTAAGGCCTCAATCTGTTTACTCCGGTGGAGGTTAGTCGCCAGCTAGAGACTCAGATTGAGAGGGTCTGAAGACCTTTAGTCGAGACTTCAAGCTATTTAAGAACCTTCCGCAGTATAACTATCATAGAAACTGAACTTGGTAATTGTAATCCGGCTTAACTGCAGTCTAGGGGGAACCATATCCGGGTGACCTCTCTTACCTTGAATACAACCGTTTACTTGCTTTGTTAGTTTGTTAGTTTGAACTTGCATTAAAGTTTCATTGCTAGATAACAAGAGTTCACTGAGTAGTCATCAAATCTAGGACCCGGGTTGACATTTAAACCTAAACCCGCTATACTACGCTTTACGAAGTGGTTTCACTTGGCCAATTCCTGGAGTGACAGTAGAAGTGAGTCAAGTTTTTGGTGCCGTTGCCGGGGACGGCTAGGTTGTTGAAGAAAAGTGATTTCTATTAATTTAGCTTTTCTTTTCGCTTTGTTTACTTTGTCCCACTTGTGCCTTCACGGGTTTGCTTGCTTGAGTGTGTGCATGTAGTGCATGACCCGTAGCCAGTCAGGAGGTTTACTGCCGTTGAATCCAGAGATTGACCGCACGTGTCGCCAACTCAGGAGACAACAGCGAGCTAGACTGGCTACGGAAGAGCGCATAGACGGCCACCTGAGTAGCGATTCTGAAGAAGAGTACGGGATGGACGGAGACTACAATCAACACCAGGGGAATCCTCAGCAGGTTCCCCCGGTGAATCAGGTCCTGGGGAACAACCCCATACCCCAGGATTATGGGGTTCATCATCCACCGCCGCCGGGCCCCACCTTGGAGTACTACTACACTCCTCGGATTGCTGACATCCGCCCGGTCATCCTCTACCCGCCTATTCCAGCAAACAACTTCGAGATCAAGCCATGCTGGATTCAGCTCATTACATCTTCTATCCAGTTCCATGGCTTGAAGGATGAGGAGGCCAGGGTGCATCTTTCCCGTTTTCTACAGCTGACGAACGGGTTCAAGCTGAATGGTGTCCCGGATGATGCAATCCGCCTTCATCTCTTCCCCCACTCTCTGTCGGGGAATGCTAAGAGGTGGTTGGAGACCCAGCCCCCACTGTCCATCACCTCTTGGGACGATCTGGCTGACAAGTTCGTGCACAGGTACTATCCAGCATCAAAGACTACAGAGATCCAGCGAGAGATCACTCACTTCCGCCAAGAGCCAGATGAGTCACTTCGTGATGCATGGGAGCGGTACATGGGATATTTCTGGCAGTGTCCCCATCATGGCTTTAGTGATGCATTCACAGTGGGGAACTTTTACAGTGCTCTCTCTCCAGACAGCCAGAGGGTGATTGAGTCTCTATGCCCAGGAGGGGATATTCTTACTAAGACTCCACCCGAGCTGAACCAGATGATCAGTACTCTGGCTGTCAGAGATCATTCTTGGGGACAGGGTAGCCGAGGCAGACAGTCCCGGGACCGTGGTGTGCACGCCATGGAGACCAGATCCGGGCTCGAGCAGCAGGTAGCTGAGCTGGTGCAGACATTGAAGCAGCCCAACAGTCTTATTCCGGGCAGAGGTTTGGCTACACCTCCAGTAGCTCAATGTCAGTGGTGCGAGAGCTCAAATCACCTAGTGGAGGACTGCCAGGCTATGAGGGAGTCTACCACTCCCCAAGAGCATTTGGACTTCATCGCCAATGCTCGGCGCCTCGACCCGTACAGCAACACATATAATGAGGGGTGGCGCCAGCATCCCAACTTCGTCTGGAGCAGCAACACCACTAAACCACCTGGTTTCCCAGCACCAGCATGTGGTTTTCCGCAGAGTCAGCCCTTCCAGGCTCGACAGGGGCCAGCCCCACAGCAGCAGCCCTATCAGCCTAGGCAGGGGCAACCATTCTAGAATCCCCAGCGCCAGTTCGCCGAGCCAGTAGCAGCTCCGGCCCCAGATGACCGGATGACAAAGCTGGAAAATATTCTAGCTTCATTCATGACTAGCACTCAGGCTGCTATCACGTCACTGGAGGCAGGTCAGCGGAACCAGGGTGCCATTTTGCAAGATCTGCAGACCCAGGTGGGCATCTTGGCCCGCCAAAACACTACCAGGGCACCGGGGACTCTGCTTGCCACAACTATCCCGAATCCTCGGGATCCTCACCAGCTCCAGCAGCTGGATGCCATTTTTACCACGAGTGGCAAGACCACATTAGCTGCTCCTGTCCCGGCCAGCAGGAGGACCCACTACCTGCTTCAGCACTTCCAGCCGACGATGCAGAAGTGCGGGTGGAGAAGGAAGCCCCTGCTCCCAAGCCACAACCAGTGGTTAAGGAGCATGTACCTCAACTTCCCTTCCCCACTAGCCTACACAAAGACAAGCTGGAGACTGAGTTTGCCAAGTTTATGTCAATGTTGAAGCAGCTCAACATCAGAATACCGTTCGTGGAGGCACTGTCGAAGATGCCCAAGTATGCCAAGTTCATGAAAGACCTCCTCACCGACAAGAAGAAACTTGGGGATCTTTTGACAGTGATGCTCAGTGAGGAGTGTTCTGCTATCCTGCAGAACAAGCTGCCCGAAAAGCGCAAGGATCCAGGGAGTTTTACTATCCCTCTTACTATTGGCAGCATGCATGTAGGCAAGTCCTTGGCGGACCTAGGCGCTACCATAAATGTCATGCCATATAAGTTGTATAAAAAGCTAGACCTAGGTGAACTTAGCCCTACTAGGATGAGCATGCAGCTAGCTGATCGTTCCATTGTGCATCCTAGGGGGATCATAGAGGATCTGCTTGTTAAAGTAGGTGCATTCACATATCCTGTTGATTTTGTTATTCTTGATATACATGAGGATGTGGACGTGCCTTTGATTCTGGGTAGACCATTTCTTGCCACCGCCAAGGCACTTATTGATGTGCATGATGGTAAACTGATCTTGCGTGCTGGGAATGAACAGGCTACTTTTTCTGTGACTGAATTTGATCACTGTGCTATGATTGCTGTCACACCTGTGCATGCCCTTTCTAATCAGGTACACGAGCCTGTCGTGTATCCTACTGCACCTCTCATTTTGCAGGACCCTCCTATCATTCCTTCGCCGCCACTCCATCCAGCCTCGCCTCCGAACAAAAAGATCAAGGAGCAGTGGCGGCCGAAGCAGCAGGTTGCTAAGCCTGTTCGGAAGAAAGGTGGAGACCACTATGAGCTGGTCCCACCTTCTGCACCACGACCACCCTGGCCGTCCAGGTACTCACTCGCCTGCATTTTGCCGGATGGCCAGGTCGAGCTGACCGATGATGGTGGTCGCATCCGTCGGGTGCATGGCCACAACCTGAAGCTGTACCTCAAGGGCGACGTGGATCCGCTCTTGGAGGCACCTGTTCCTGCACCTCCCTGAGTATCCACCATGGGCGTCCAGCTAAAAGACAGTAAAGAAGCGCTTGTGGGGAGGCAACCCCACCACGGGTTGACTTTCTTTCTTGTGTTTTGAGTCGGATTGTAAACCGGTTTGGTTTTGGTTTGTTTTCTTTTGTTTTGGATGATGTATTATTGGGCTAACCATTGGACCTAACATATTGTGTTTGAGCTCTTCTGTTCCCCTTTAGCTGTGCTTGTCTTGACTGTTCCTCTCTCCAGTCCGCTTCACTCCGACTGGTCCGTTTCCAGTCTTCTGCAGTCCGTGCATACCGGTAACATCGTTCCCCTTTCCCTTCCCTCTTCTCCATTGAGGGCAATGTCGATCTTAAGTGTGGGGGGATGTTTATCTTTTGACTGCATTAGATCTATTTGTGTGCTTGGAGCCTAGTTCACTGTCCAAATTTTTAAATTTGAGGGCTCCAAGTACGTGTTTCCGTGCAATTGCCTGCTCAGTATGCTTTGAATTGACAGTCTTTATAGTAATATGCAACCTAGGGAGGTAGTGTAGCACTATGGAGGATGTTGATGCATTTAGGAAGTCTCATTTCTTCTTCATATTGTGTTGGTTGATTGAGTGCATTAGTGATCTTAGGACCCTTGAATTGTGTGGTGTTGTGGACTCTCTACATGTCATGGACTCTTGTTTCATGTTTTGAGTTTAACAGGTACTCGAAAATGTGCTTTAAAATAACGTCTCCCGTGCGAATAGGGCGAAAGTGTGTAAGGGGAGACGGGAATTCGTTCCCAATTTCCACCTACTACCTCCAGCCCCCTTACATGTCTTTCCCCCACACGAGGCTCGAGACATCCGCTCCTGGCATGGCCGGTAAGAGCAGGTTGGGACCCTTGAAAGAAAAAAAAAAAGAAAAAAAAATAACAGAAAACAAGCAAAACAGAAAGAAAAGGGGTTCCAACCATCTTCAAGAAGAAAATAGAGCACCTTGAAAAATGTGAGTCCATGATCCTTTGTTTTTGAGAATCTCTTCATCCACAATTCATTTGTCCTCTGTTCACTATTCGCCATGATGCCGACTCGATACTAGTGCTCTCGCCGAAGGAGCTATGAGATGACTTGTGCGTCGGTTGACCTCGTAAGTTGCTAAATGATCTAGGAAGTCCTCTACCTACGATATAGGTTGTTTGTTGCTATAGAGGTCTGGAGAGTTGCATTGGTTTGAGTTAGGTTTGCTTGGGGAGAAGCAAACGGTTAAGTGTGGGGGAATTTGATAACGATGTAATTGCACGTATTTGCGCCCCTAGTTCTTATCCGATTGAGGGGCATAGTCGTGTATTTTTGGCCTATTTTACACCGGGTTGTGCTATTTTGTCATATTTCAGGTCCCAGGCGTCAAAGGAAAGGCTGAGCACGAGTTTCGGGGCATTCGGAAGTCATTTCGTCGAGCTGGAGCCAAAACACGGGCACACCTAAAACAGAACACGGCCGTGTTCTGTGGCCGTGCTTTTACTGCCGAGAGCTAATTGAGTTTGGCAAATTCAAGCTGCAAACACGGGCTGAAAGCACGACCGTGTCAACCAAAGACCGTGTTCTGTGGCCGTGCTTTTACTGCCGAGAGCTAATTGAGTTTGGCAAATTCAAGCTGCAAACACGGGCTGAAAGCACAGCCGTGTCAACCAAAGCACGGCCGTGTCCTCTCAAAAGCATGGCCGTGTTTTCACCAACAGGTGGCCGTGTAATTAACCCTAGCCAAAGCACCGGCGGGCTGAAGCAAAGCACGGCCGTGCCCTCGACCGTGCTTTGGCCACTGATGCCCTTTTAAGCAGATTTCAGCCAAAACAGAAGGGGATTGGAGTTTTGAGAGAGATAGAGCGATTCCTAGAGAGAAAAAGTGACGAACAAGAGTCTCCAAGTGCCCTAGCTTGATCTTCATCACCATTGGAGGCCAGTTTGAGCTTGGAGAAGTGCCGATCAACGTCCAGGAGCAGGAATCCATCCTTCACAGTATGAATTCCGCGTCTGATTCTGCTTTTGCTTCTTTCTCCATGGAGTAGTTCTCCCATTCATCTGGGTATGGAGAACCCTAGATTTGTATGTTAGGCTTTGATTGTATGAACCCAAGTACTGATTCTATGATTTGATTATATTCAATTGAGGTTTGATTGATTGAATGACATGAATCCTGATCAAATTCCTGTTGTTTCTGCTTTAACCTAGAATGAGAATATCTGCCTAGGTTGATAGAGCATCCTTGATTGAAGGTAGGGAGTTGGTGACTTTAGTCGAGGAGCCAACTCATTATTCTGTACCGGATTTACTCCGGTAGTGGAGGTTTTGTTTGTTATGGCCTCAATCTGTTTACTCCGGTGGAGGTTAGTCGCCCGCTAGAGACTCAAATTGAGAGGGTCTGAAGACCTTTAGTCGAGACTTCAGGCCGTTTAAGAACCTTCCGCAGTATAACTATCATAGAAACTGAACTTGGTAATTGCAATCCGGCTTAACTGCAGTCTAGGGGGAACCATATCCGGGTGACCTCTCTTACCTTGAATACAACCATTTACTTGCTTTGTTAGTTTGTTAGTTTGAACTTGCATTAAAGTTTCATTGCTAGATAACAAGAGTTCACTGAGTAGTCATAAAATCTAGGACCCGGGTTGACATTTAAACCTAAACCCGCTATACTACGCTTTAGGAAGTGGTTTCACTTGGCCAATTCCTGGAGTGACAGTAGAAGTGACTCAAATCTCTTAAGTTGACCAAGCCCTCTCAGTCCAACTACCCGGCAGACGACTAGTCTTCACCGGGATAGAAAGCTAAAGCAATAAGCACTGAACTCCACTACTGGAATTGGTTTCCAGTACAAAGCAGTAGATTGATTAACTCTCGTATAACCAATCTACCACTACCGAATGATGAAGCTCTAACAACCTAATCAGATTCTATCTATCTCAGGTTGCAGTAGAAATCAAGAAAAGATGATCAGACTTCAATTGATTCAATGAATCATGCATCATTCGATTAAAACCAAACAGTATAACAATCCCAACTCATTACAATCAAGATCCCTAACACAGGGAACTAGGGTTCTTCACACCCAAGTGAGACAGGGTTCTACTCCATAGAGAGATAGAGGAAAACAGAATACAAAACAGTCATACTCTTAACGATGAGGAAAATCTGCTCTGGGATGATGATCTTCACTCCAAGGATGATTTCCAAGCTTGATTGATGAAACCCAGCTCCAAAACCACTCTTAGGAGGTGTTCTTCGCACTTTCTCTCTCTAGGGCTCTGTTTTTGCTCCAAAAAGTCGATTCTCCCTCCTTTGGCTCAAAATTAGGTTAAAACCCAGAAATTTCCGACCACACGGGCATGCCACACGGCCGTGTGGCTTTTTAGGCGTGCCCGTGTGAGTGTGCAAAACGCCACGTTTCACTTAAGTGGCTTCAGGTACGCTACACGGCCAAAACCACACGGCCGTGTGGATTTTAGGCGTGCCCGTGTGAGCTCCCTGGACTTTCCACACGGCCACAAGGGGTCCCCTACACGGCCAGTGTGGCTTGCCCGTGCAATTTGGTGTCTCACGGCCAGGTCACATGGCCGTGTGGGTTTTTAGACGTGCCCGTGTGGCTTTTCCAGCTTTTCGTCAAACGCCCCAACTTCGTCCAATTGACCCCGAACTCGTGCCCAAACCTTCTTTCACGTACTAGGACCCGAAATATCACAAACAAGAACAACCTAGCGTGAAATCGGTCTAAAACACGAGAGATGAGACTCAAACGGTACAGGAATGGTGGATAAAAACATGTGTATATATCAAGTCATCAGTATGTTTTCAAGAATCGATCTGCAAAGGAAGGTTTCCTCATAAGAAGCAATCCTGGCGGAAAATCAGCAACGACTAGCTCGATCTTCACCAACCAATATTTTGTTCATCTATATATTCTGTGTATTTTGAGAAGCTAGGCAAGGAATTGTAACGGAGAAAAAGAGAGCGGTAGAGGGATGGTCTTTTAGTTACAAGGTTATCAACAGTTCAGGGGAAGAGGTTCTTAGCTGTTGAGGTCTTTTACAGATCGGACTGTGATCTAAAGTGGTGGTTTTTTTTGGTTTTCATTTTCTCTACTCTGTTTTGTTTTACTTTTGCTTGATAGGAAAATCATAATAAAAAGAGTCTCTCGGAAATAGCATCGGAAAATAGCAGGTGCTATTTCCGAGACGAGGAGTGAACAGTAGTTTGGGAACCTCGTTAAATCGTGTGTTCTTCTCTTCTCAATTCGGTTTATTCCTTTGTTTTCTGATTGGCTATTTGCCTCTTTTTTCCTGAGTTTCTGCTCTGATATTCTTTCCGTCAAAGGAAGAAGAAGAGAAGCTGAAGCTCTCTCTCTTGCGTTTTGACTTCGGTTGGGCTTAAGTAGAGAAAGCCCAATTTTTTTCTAATTTTTATTTATATATAATTTGTTTGAGCTTTGTCTTTCTCCATCCCAATTATTATTATTGCTCTAGGTATTAGTCGAGCAGCAAAGGAAGTTTTCTTTCTCATCATTTCCCCTTTCCCTTCTGCTGCTTCTGACTCGATTAAAATCCCTAATCTGATTTCTAATTCATTTCATAGGTGGTATCAGAGCCAGTACTTGAAGAAGCTAATTACTACCAAGACTGATCCAGGCGATGGCTTCCTCAAATTTTGGCCAAGCTTCATGCAATCACCCTCCCGTATTCACCGACTCCAATTTCACGGCTTGGAAGAAACATATGAAGACGTTTCTGTGGGGTGTAGAGGAAGATCTCAGGCTGGTGGTTTGTGACGGTCCGATCGCGATGAATGATGACGAACAGAATCTGTGGTCTGCCGCCCAGAAGAAGAGAGCTCAGCTCAACCAACGAGCAATGCATATTCTCCAGACCGCCATGGTGCCCGACGAAGCCGACAAGGTTGAGAACTGCGAAACCACTCGTGAAATCTGGCGGACTCTGGAAACGACGTATGAGGGCACATCAAACATCAAGGAGACTCGCATCAATCTCCTCATGAACGAATACGAGGCCTTCGACATGATGCCAGGTGAGAGTATTCACGACATGTACTCTCGATTCACTGTTTTAATAAATAAGCTAAAGGGTTTAGGTAAATTCTTTGTTACTAAAGACCTGATTAGAAAAATTCTTAGATTGCTTCATAAATAATGGTTGCCCAAACGGGCCGCCATAGAAGAAGCTCGTAATCTCAATACCTTGCCTATAGATGAATTAATCGGGTCGTTGCTCAGTCATGAACATGTCATTAGGCAGGTTGGGCGTGATGATAAACACAGGCAAACCTTAGCTTTTCAGTCTCAAGTTAAGGAATATGAGTCAGATAATGACACTGAATTTGACAAAGAATTTGCTTTGGTTTGTCGGAAGTTTCATAGAATGCTCAAGTATAAGTCTGAGTAGAAACGTCGTGGTGGAGAATTAAACAAACCTGGTTTTTATGATCGTAACAAATCATTCTCCCATGATAGGCTGCTTTCACAGTAGACCAAAGAGTTAAGTGCAGGTGCTCATGAGAAGGAACCACAAGGTTGCTACAAATGTGGCAAACCGGGACACATTCGTGCCAACTGCCCTCTAACCATAAAGGCAAAGGAGCGCGCTATGCTTGCTTCCTGGAGTGACTACGAGTCAGACTCCTATAACGAACAGGTAACAGAAGAGGCCTACATGGCTTTTGCTCTTAATATTGAAGGTAATAGTTTAGATTCCAACTCTGAATTAGCCTTTAAAACTGTTTCATTAGACTCTTCCACTGATTCTGATCATAAATGGTTTATGGACAGCGGTTTTTCACACCATATGACTGGTAAAAGTCACTTATTTTCTACTCTATCGCCCAAAAATGGTGGTAGGGTAACCTTTGGTGACAATAGCTTTGGGAAAATAATAGGCAGTGAACTATAGGCTCAAAACCTCGACCAATTATTCACAATGTTCTCCTTGTAGAAGGTTTGAAGCACAATTTATTGTCCATTAGTCAACTTTGCAGCAATGGCAATAAGTTGGTCTTTGAGGCTTCTCACTCTCTAGTGACAAGATCTCAGGATAATTCCACTGTGTTTGTGGGAAATTGGTTCAATAATATGTATGTGATAAATCTAAGCAATTTGGCCAGTGAAACTTGCTTGATTGCTAATCATCAGTTAGAGATGCTCTGGCATCGTAAGCTGGGGCATATAAGTTACAGAAGTTATCCAAGCTGTCCAAATCTGCTTTGGTTCGTGGAATGCCTATTTTAAAAGAGCGATCTGATTTCTTTTGTAGTTCGTGTGTTGCTGGTAAACACACAAAGAAAAGTTTTATACCTAAACAAGAAGTTACATCAAAATCAGTTCTTGAACTGATTCATATGGACCTTTTTGGTCCCTGCAATGTAACGAGTTTAGGAGTCAAGAATTATGCCTTTGTCCTTGTGGATGATTACTCAAGATATACCTGGGTTTATTTTCTTTCCCACAAAGACGAAACATTTTCAAAATTTAAAACTTTTACTATGCTGTTTGAAGGGAGAATTGAAATTATCTAGAATGATAATGGAGGGGAGTTTATCTCAGACAAATTTGAGAGCTTCTGTAACCAGACTGGGATCCTCCATACGTTTTCTGCCCCACGCACTCCTCAATAGAATGGAGTGGTGGAGCGCAAGAATCGTACTCTCATTGAATGTGCTCGCACCATGTTACTTGAATATGGGTTACCAAAACATTTCTGTGCTGAGGCTGTAAGCACTGCGTGCTACGTGGGGAATCGAGTTTTAGTTCGAAAACATTTGAACAAAACTCCCTATGAGTTATTTAAAATTAAACAACCCAGTATTTCCTATTTTCATCCTTTTGGTTTCACGTTGTTTTGTGCTAAACACTAAAGAGAATCTCGGCAAATTCGACGCTAAGTCAGATGAAGCCATTTTTCTAGGATACTCTGTGAAAGAACAAGCTTATCGTATATTCAATAAGAAGTCCAAAAGAGTTGAGGAATCGGTTCATGTTCGCTTTGATGACACTAACCCTTCTCTTGAGCTCGGAGAAGATGTTGCTGCCCCTTTTGATTTTGCAGAAATGTTGTCTCTGATAGAACCCGGGTGTTTAGGTTCTATCTAGGGATTAGGATTGGGGAAAAGATCAATTAGGGATTGATCTTGGGTTGAACAGAAGGGAGAGAAGAAGGGAATTTGGGGTTAGGACGAAAGAAGAAGGAAGGGAGGAAGGGATGGCCGCGCGGCGGCTTTAAGAGGGAGGAAGAGGAGTTTGGCAGAGAGGAGAGGGGGGGGGGGGGGGGAGAGAGAGAGAGAGAGAGAGAGAGAGAGAGAGAGAGAGAGAGGCAATTAGGATTTAGGTTTATTTTGCTTAGTGCCCTAATCCCACTTACAAGCAGTTTATATAATAAAATGGATAATTCCCTACTGCTACCCGATTTATGAAATATTCCCCAATCCCAGAAATAGTCCCAATAATCCGAAATAGTAACAAACCGACAATTAATTAAAGTACTAAAATACAAGTTTCTATCATCCCCGCTTCCTTCGAAAAAAAAAATCTTGTTCCCAAGGTTGTTCCTCTAGCTCACTGGGTCTCCTCCTCGCATTTCCGACGTCCTCGGCCTCATCTTTTGCTTCATCTTCCCAGCGCCCGACTAACATCATCAGATCCGACTTCGGCCGATTGTTATTCTTTTCTTCTTCTTCCCCAAATTCTCAATCTCAATCCTCAATTCTATCATCAATTCCCTCAATTCCCACTCAACCAACACTATCGATAGAACCCTAGAAATAGGTATCTATCATTTGGTATCAGAGCCAGCATGAGTTCTTCAAAGTTCATCGATCTGGCATGGGCTCGCATAAGACAGAAGATCGAACTCACATTAGCCGAGCTCAAGCAGGAGGCCTGGGATCGCGGGTGGACTGCTGCGGCGGCGGAGGAGGAGGGCGACCCAATCGCGGTGACCGTCGAAACGCCGACTCCGTCGCGGCGAGAGGGCGCAGTGGCGCACGCGATGGTTGAGGGCGGGGACCCTCGGCGCATGGTAGGGCTGCACGAGGCGCGGGCCATGCGGGGGCACAATCGCGCGAGGCGCTGCGGGTCACGGCAGCTGCCGACGCGACGGCGACGATGCAGGAGGACGGCAGGAGAGGCGCGATGCCGCACGACGTCACTCGTCCAGGAAGGAACACTGGCGAACGAGGCAGAGTCGGAGAAGAAGGTGGATTGAAGCTTGCCTCCTTGTTTCCCGGTGCCTTGCTCGACGACGGAGGACAAAACGTTGAAGGAACTCCCGACGATGGAGTCAGAACTGAAGCTGTCGGCGATGGAGAAGAAGGAGGGTGACGACGTTGTCTCTCCACGCGTAAACCCTAGGGGGACTGCACTGGCCAACCCCGAACAACAGCTTGGGTAGTTGGGTCGAGGAGTACAACAGCAGCTGCCGGTTCTTTTGGGCCGCATGGCTGAGTGGGCTGCCCATCCTGACAGGCCGGTTGTGGTGGGCAAGTGGTACGGGTTGGTCCAAAGTGACAGCGGACTAGATCAGTTGGGTGGGCCCTTGAATAGGAGGAATGGGGCTTCGAGTAGACCAATTATTTTGCCATACATGAGCAACCTAACGTGGGATCTTCTCTATGGGGTCGTGCCAGACACAAAGGTTGATGCAGGTCAGCCAAACACACAGAAGACTGAAGAGAAGTGGGCCGATCAATAGCTAAGTAACAGGCCAAGGATGACAGTTATGTGGGCCTAGTACTTACAAGTTAATGGGTTGAGTCTCCAAAGAGGGCTTGAGCCAATGGATAAAAGTAAGGTTTTTTTAGGGCCAAGTACCTTGGATTGGACACAAGTTGGGTCAATTCTGGGGAATCGGACTAAGGTGCGGTCCATGAGGGCTGCTGATGCTAAGCAACCGGTGAAAGTGGTCGAATCGAATTGGAAAAAAAGGAAGCGCAAGTCACGGAGGAGTAGGCTCGGGAATCACGCGATCAAGGCGGGAAAATGGGTGAAGTAAGTCAACCTTGAGGGCAAGGTTGCTCTCAAGGGGGAGGGAATGATAGAAACCTATTCCTTTAGGGGTTCTATTATTATTATTATTATTAGGGTATAAATAAATAAGGTTAGTAGTCTTTTAGTAGAATTAGGTTTATTATTAGGTTTTCCTATCTTTCCTATAAATATGTAATCTGGCTTTCATTGTCAATCAGGCAAGAAAAGTTATTCAGAACGTATCTCTCCAAAACCCTAATCCTCTATCTCCTAATTTCTCGTTCTCTATCCCTCTATGGCTTCGGCCGATTCTTATTTTTTTCTTCTTCCTCCCCAAATTCTCAATCTCAATCCTCAATTCTATCATCAAATCCCTAAATTCTCAATCAAACAACACTATCGATAGAACCCTAACCAACACTATCGATAGAACCCTAGAAATAGGTTTCTATCAGTCTCCTTTAAGTTCTACTCAAGAGGGTACCTCAGACATGCTATCCGCACCGAATCCACCTATCTTCAACACATCCAGACCTACTGCTTCGCTAGAACCGCATTCCCAGGACACGCCAATCATTCCCAAAGCTCAAGAACATTACAAAAACGTCACCCTCAAAGTCAGATCATAGGAAATCTGTCTGATGGTCTTCGTACTCGAGGTAAGTATATTCCTGGTCAATTTGCCTATATCGCTCGGTTTGAACCTAAAAATTACAAAGAGGCATTGAATGATGAGGAATGGGGGTTATCTATGTTAGAAGAACTTGCTCAGTTTGAGCAACTAAGGGTCTTGGACTTGGTTCCCCGCCCACCAAATGTGACCATTATAGGAACAAAGTGGATTTATAAAAACAAGTCAAATGAAGATGGGGACATCATTAAGAATAAATCTCGTCTAGTCGCCCAAGGATACAGTCAATAGGAGGGTATTGACTTTGACGAAACTTTTGCCCCAGTTGCTAGACTTGAATCCATTCGCTTGTTGTGTGCTTTTGCATGTTTCTTTAACTTCCCTTTATTTCAAATGAATGTCAAGAGTGCATTTTTAAATGGTGTGATTTCAGAAGATGTGTATGTTGCTCAACCACCGGGATTCATTGACTATAGATATCCTGACCATGTCTATAAGTTAAATATAGCTCTCTATGGTCTTAAACAAGCCCCCTCGAGCATGGTTTGAGCGTCTTACAACTTTTTTAAAGATCATAACTTCAATCAGGGTACTGTTGACAAAATGTTATTCATTCAACATACTCAGAACGACATTCTGCTTGTTCAAATATATGTTGATGATGTAGTTTTTGGATCCACTAATACTGCCTTATGCACTGCATTATGTGAGTCTATGACATCTGTCTTTGAGATGAGCATGATGGGTGAACTTAAGTTCTTCCTTGGATTACAGATGAAATAATCTGCTCATGGCATATTTATAAACCAATCCAAGTATATCCATACCATGCTTTCCAAATGTGACATGACTTCTTTAAATTCCAGCCCTACTCCTATGGCTGCAAATTTAAAGTTAGATCGAGACGAGAATGGAATTGCGGTAGATGAAAAGAAGTATCGAGGGATGAATGGATCTTTACTATATTTAACTGCCAGCAGATCTAATATTCAGTACAGTGTCTGTATTTGTGCTCGGTTCCAATCCAACCCTAAAGAAAGTCATTTGTCTACTGTTAAACGGATTTTTCGTTACTTAAAGGGCACTATAGATGTAGGTCTCTGGTATCCTAAACAAGAAGACTTTGATTTGGTTGGTTATAGCGATTCTGACTTTGCCGGCAGTCTAACTGACCGGTAAAGCATAACAAAAACGTGTCAACTAGTTGGCACTTGTCTTGTCTCTTGGTTTTGCAAAAAACAGGGGGCTGTCGCTCTCTCTACAGCAGAGGCAGAATATATAGCTGCTGGGAGCTGTAGCACTCAATTAATCCTTCTGCATTCCTATTTAAGTCCATTTTTCAGCTTTTCTCTTCGATTCATCCTTCTGCGCGTGTTGTTCTTGTGTCCTAGCTATGGAGCCTAGTTTGTCAATCACGTTTTCTGGTAGTCTGTTTTTCGAACCTGCCCTTGCCAACTGCCACCGCCATCGTCAGTTTTTTGAGCGTCGCCCTATTGCCCCCTCTATCCTATCCCCGTTTGAAGAGTTCCATGATTTAGCTCTAGATGTCAATGATTTCATTCAAAATCTGGGATGGGGATTTTTACTTGGTCAGTTTTCATCCATGTTTTGCCCCATCCTTGTTCGTTATTTTTACTCAAACCTTCGCTCTGATGGCTTTCGTTCCCGAGTTTTTTCTACCTTGTTCCAAGGCCATCTCATTACCATCCCTGTTGTCGACTTGGGTCGTTTGTTAGATATTCCAGCTGCCGGTGAGACTATTGCTCACGAGTCTGAGTTGTGGAGAGTCAATTTTAATGTTGCCGAGGAGTTTGTGCATCTCTCGGGTGTCCATCCTGGTCCTGCCCTGTCTCTCCCTGTCAATGTTTTGCTGCCCTGTCTTCGAGCTTTTCATTTTGTCCTCACAAGGGTTTTCCTTCCTCGTTTTCAATCTTTTGACCGAGTTACTCCCTTAGACCTCTGGGTTATGAGCCTTGCTGTTGCCCATGTCCCTCTCAACGATGCCCACTTGGTTTTTGGCTCCATGCTGTCTTTTGGTGATGTCCACTTCCCTGGCCCACTGCCATTTGGACCCCTCATCACCCGTCTGTTCTCTCGCCTTGCAATTGATCTTTCCTCTTTTCGTACCATCTCTCCTACTCAATATGTGTCTATCGACCAAATGCTGGATGACCTGGAGATTGCGATTGGGGGAGAGGTCTTTCCTGCTTCTACTGCTATCATTGAAGACGATGAGGCTGAGGTAGAACCTGTAGATGTGGAACCAGAGGAGAATGTGGAACCAGAGGAAGAGGATGACTCAACTTCTGAAGATTTGTTTCCTGCAGATCTTGTGGTTCTTTATGAGACTGATGAAGAAGATTTTGGCTCTGACGATGAAGATCGTTTTTGACGTATCTTGCTTATCTTGCGAGTGTGTCTCAGACTTGTTAGTTTTATGTTATGTTTGCCCTGTGTTGTTTGGGTTGGAACTTGATGCCTTGAACTGAGTGTGCTCAAACATTGTTGAATTTTTTCTCTGTGGAGTTTGGCCTTTGCAGTAGTCTCTGCTGGAACTTGTTTAGTCTCTGTTGGGATTTGCTTCTGGTGGGTATTTCTTGCCTTGTTTGGAGTTTGTGTATGCCGTCTTTTATAGGAAATGGATCAATCGTCAATCTCTCATTTAGTAGAAGATTGATGAATGAAATAAGAGTCTTGTCGATTGATCTCTTTTAGTAAGTTTTCAAGAATCGATGTGCAAAGGAAGGTTTCCTCATAAGAAGCAATCCTGGCGGAAAATCAACAACGACTAGCTTGGTCTTCACCAACGGATATATTGTTCATCTATATATTCTGTGTATTTTGAGAAGCTAGGCAAGGAATTGTAACGGAGAAAAAAAGAGCGGTAGAGGGCTGGTCTTTTAGTTACAAGGTTATCAACAGTTAAGGGGAAGAGGTTCTTAGCTGTTGAGGTCTTTTACAGATCGGACTCTGATATGGGGTGGTGGTTGTTTTGGTTTTCATTTTCTCTACTCTGTTTTGTTTTACTTTTGCTTGATAGGAAAAATCACAATAAAAAGAGTCTCTCGGAAAATAGCAGGTGCTATTTCCGAGACGAGGAGTGACCAGTAGTTTGGGAACCTCATTAAATCGTGTGTTCTTCTCTTCTCAATTCGGTTTATTCCTCTGTTTTCTGCTTGGCTGTTTGCCTATGTTTTCTTGAGTTTCTGCTCTGCACTTATTTCCGTTAAAGGAAGAAGAAGAGAAGCTGAAGCTCTCTCTCTTGCGTTTTGACTTCGGTTGGGCTTAAGTAGAGAAAGCCCAATTTGTTTCTAATTTTTCTTTACATATAATTTGTTTGGGCTTTGTCTTTCTCCAGCTCAATTATCATTATTGCTCTAGGTCTTAGTCGAGCAGCAGAGGAAGTGTTCTTTCTCATCATTTCCCCTTCCCTCCTGCTGCTTTTGACTCGATCAAAATCCCTAATCTGATTTCTAATTCATTTCATATGCTTCACGTGCATGAGTGATTCATTCCGGACGAAGAGAAATTTATATCCCATATATGGAATTCAAAGGCAATATGGTCCATTTAAGTTGTTAAGATGGCTTTCCAATGACGATCTTTGTCGAATCGTTGGTGTTTCCTATTCCTAAAGTGGTTGGATCAGTCTTTTAATTAATGAATTATTTGCTCTGTTTGTGTGTTAATATTAGTGTATTGAATTGGGATGGTTAAGTGAGATGTAATTTTGGCTGCTAATCGGAAGCAGTCTCTAGCAAGAAGAGCCTGGGTATGTTCTTAGTCGCCCCATCCTCAATTTCTTGGTGTTTTGTCTTAATGAACCAACTACGTCGATGACATTTACAAGGCGTCATAGCTGGTCAAACAAGGGCTGCTGCTAAGGGTAGTAATCTACTAATCTGCTCATGAATTAACCATTAAAATACGATGCTAGTCGTCTGTAATATGTTCTATTCGTTAGGATACTTAATACAAAGTTAATTGTCGGAGAGCAATCTACATAAACTCTGTGGGATACCATATTAAGGTCATCGGAGACAACCTCTGTTTCTTCTAATCAAATGTTCAGCGAGGGTTGTCTCTCCGAGAAGCATATATAATGATCGTATTAATTACTTGTGTAATGTTCGGGCCTGGATGAGAGCGGCCAGGATGTGTGATAGATAGAGGTCTGGGGGAAAGAAGAGAAGCTTTAAAAGAGGAATATCCCCATAGCGGCCGGCGGTAGCCCCATTCTCCTTGATTTTATTTTTGTTATGCTTTCTTTTTTTAGTGCTTCCTTTTCATAGCTTTTCTCACCTCTTCTCTGAAGTTAGGTGCTTCTTCTTCTTCCTCATGTCTGATCTTTACAGATCTAATCATTGAGATGTTTTGGTGGTGTCAGAGGATATTGAGGTTTCCTTAATCTGCCTTCTCCTTCTTGTTTCCTGTTCCTCCTCCTTGCTTCACCATTGCGGCTTGGTGTTTCGGAGATGTCTGGGAATCCTATTGTGATCTCCCATTGGTTTCAGTTTCAAGGAGTTCGAAGGTGGAGATCAAGATTCATGGACTCTCGAGTGTTGTCCCTGGCGCTTTCATCGGTTCGGCTGCGTGCTTTTGTCTTTCGGAGGTGGCGTGTGCAAGCGTTCTTCTTTGGTCTACTTGTTGTCTGGCGGTCTTTCGGTCATCGGATCTCCCTTCATCAGCCTCTGCATGTGCGCCCGATGGGTGCTCTTTTGGGTGGTAGGTGGCGGCTGCTGCTCTTGGGGATATTGGTTGGGGTGCTAGGGTTTCAGGCCATTTGTTAGGCTTTGTTCTCTTTGGTTTTGTTTTTCAGGCCATCTGTTGGGCTTTGATCTTTTTGATTGTTGCTTTTGGGCCTTTCTATGTTTCTTGTTTCTCTCCCTGAGGTTTCGGCCCAAAATCTGTTCACCCTCTGGGTTCATTTCAATAATTTTTTTTTTCCAAGATCAGTTTTTATTAATATCAATCAAGCAGTAGAGAACAGAAGTGTGCGGGAGTCGACCAATAGTCGAACTCCCGATGAGAGGGCCTTTTGTGCCACAAGATGGGCAGCCCTATTGAGTTGACGGGACACAAACAAGAAAGAAACTCTGCTACAAAGTGAGGCCAAGCACCGAACGTCCTCCAAAATAGCTCCCCCGCGATCATGATTCAGCTCGCCACCCATCATTTCAATAAATTTCCAATGACTTCAAAAAAAAAAAAAAAAAAAAACATAACCGCTGGGACCGTTGCCATTGATGATCACAATGTTCAAATGTAATGATGGGGTTGAAAAACTTGTGGGGTATATTGGCATCATGCAAGCATACTCGACCACTCCATCATCTCCAGTAAGTTACCCCCTCCTCCATTTTGCTCATTTCGCCCCTCTTCGTCGATTTGTTAGTTCAAAGTTAAGTGGAAAGTTGTGTAATTTCATTTTGATGGAATAAAAGTGTATGCATAGTCCTGTCTTGTTGGATTGTTAAGCCTTTGTTCCCTCAAAGAGAAGTTGTAGTCTGTATCTGAAGGTTATATTCTAAAGCAAGACCCTCCTTCCTTTAAATTGTAGCATCATCTTTGCTACGGTAATGTGTTTGCTTGGAATTGTTTGAAAGCAAGAATCTTTGTTCTGATTAAACTTCAAGTGGTTATACTCTGGTAGTTGGGTCATTGTTTAATGAGTATTTTTTTATTTGATTGATAGTCTTGATGGGTGGTTGAGCTAGCAGTGAAAATGGTTCTTGATTAAATCTTAAGTGGGTGGCGTTGCATTTGCTGGCTATTTACAGTAAAAAAAAAAATATTAGCCACAACTATTATAAAGCGGAAAATTATAGCCACAAATTATGGAAATTCAAATTATTAGCCGAACATTAACTTTCTGTTAACAATTTCATTAGTAACACTGACTAAACTTTTATATTTTAAAGTTATAACTTAAAAGCAGTCCAATATGGTTGCTGCCGATGACGTGCCCTTCTCCGTTAAAAATTCAATAACAGTAACGGACAGTTAGCCATATCTTGACCCTCAAAAATAGTTATGGCTAATAAATTGAATTTTTATAGTTGTTACTATAATTCCCTGCTTCATAATAGTTGTGGCTAATATAATGTATTTAAAAAAATGTAATGGAGTTTTTGTGCTTTTCTGCTCCATATTGTTCGATTCCATTAGTAAAATTGGCCACTGACTGGGCCTTTTAAATTCTGAAACTTGGGTATCTACTTTGGAGACTATTCATTCTCCATGATTTATCTCTACCTACTTGGTTTTAGGCTTTGAGAGATGTTCATTGTGATATTGCAGGTTACGTAAGATGAGAATGGTTCACTAAATGTTGCTCACTTTGACGAAGTACATGTTCAGGGTTCTCTTGTCTTGGACGATTAAAGAGGCAAATTTATTGGGATCCCTTGGTAGACAACAAAAGGGCATTATTTTTCCAGCAACAATCAGCAGTCATAGTAGTGCTATGAAAATTCAATCAACAATTTAGTAATACTACTAGTCATCAAACTGGAGCTTCCATTAAAATGCACTTACTCAACAGAAAAAGCAATAACCGGAAAATCCAAGCCTTGGCCTGTTCTTCCCAGTTAGCTATTCTTATCCACTAGTATCAATACCCATGGTTACGTCGCGTGAGATATAATCGTCCTGGACCAAGCCAATTACCTCTTATGTGTTGCACAAAAGAAGAGGAATAACAACCTCAATGTGGATGATGATGTTGATATGTGACTTGTGGGAGCCTGAAAGTAGGATTTTGTTTGTGAGTCTTTTGCTCTTGTTGTGCTCTTCTAGATCATTGTAGAATAGAAGCGCAGGCCTTTTTGGCAGCTTCATGAGTCAGTAGCAAGTATTCACATGTTATTTACACATCTTATCTCTTTCACTATATTTATGAAGTAAAGACGTCATGAAGCTAGGGGGAGAGGATCAGACAAAGTTTGATTAGTCTGGCAAGTTGGTTGGTTAAAGCAAGATTTAATTTGTAAAGTGGTTGTGGGTAGTAGGATGAGGTTAGTAGTGGGAATGATCGAACATGTTAGCTGCTGCGAGATAGGAACCTTTCAGTGTTGATGCAATATAACACCCAAAGCACTTGTTTCTATTTAAGACTTGTCTTTGTTTGTTGATAGCTTTTAGTGTTAGCTGGGAATTTGCTGTTGTTGTTGCAAGTTGTTTCCTGAGAACTGTTTATTTTTACTGTAACTTTTGAACTTAGTAAATTGGTATCACCTGCATAAAAAAAGACATGTAATCTTGAACCTAACATTCATCTTGTTACCTCATTCTTCCCATTCAATTCCTCTGCATCCCAAATCACCAACCCCGTGGACTTGCTGAGTATTCAATGAAATTAAGGTAACCTTAGACGTATGCGGCAAGAGAAGA